ACTGATTTTTGTTTGTAGATTTGTACCTTGCAACTTTACTGAATTCTTCTATTAGAGATATAAGCTTTTTTTGTAGAGTCTTTGTGGCTTTATATATATAGGATCATATCATCTATGAATAGAGATAATTTTACTTCTCATTTCCAATCTGGATGGAGTAAAGCCTTTTTTACTTATGCTATTGCTCAAGATAGGACTTCTAATACAACAGTGTATAGAAGTAATGAGAGTGGACACGTTTGTCTTGTTCCTGGTCTCAAGGGAAATCTCTCAGGCTTTCTTCATTTCATATAATGTTGGTTGTTGGCTTTTCATATATGCTGTGAAGGATATTGAGGAATTTCCCCCTTTTTCATCATGAAAGTGTGTTGGATTTTGTTGCATACTTTTACTTATACGTCAGTGTTTTGTACTGTGGTTCTTTGCATGTTGATTTGATACTGTAAGTTGTGTCATAGTAATTTAAAATGCCACCAGGGTTACCCATGGTAGAAAGATTTCATCAGAGCTTCCAGACTAAGATAGACAAGAAAGAAGGAGAAGGAGACTACTTCTAATTATTAGCCACTGAAAACCTTATGAATAGCAGCAGAACATTGTCAGATATAGTACCAGAAGATGAAGCATGAATAGCACCAGAACACTGTCACATTTAGTACCAGCAGATGAGCTCTTCCAATAAAGGAAAAATAAAACTGCTTCCTCAGAGCAGAGTTGACACAAATGAAGTAACGTTTCTGGGATCTTCATTTGCTGATAGGGCAAAACTCAAAATGAGAAGAAACAGCTGCAAACATCCATTAATAACCAGAACATGGAATGTATGAAGTATGGACCTAAGAAAATTGGAAATTGTCAAAAATGAAATGGAACACATAAATATCAATATCCTAGACATTAATATCTGTACATAGACCAAGAGGCAGTTGTTCAAACAAAACATGGAAACACTGTACAGTTTAAAGTTAAGAAAGGTGTGCGAAAGGATTGTATTCTTTTACCATACTTATTTAACCTGTATTCTGAACAAATAATACAAGAACCTGGCTTATATGAAGAAAAACATGGCATCAGAATTGGAGGAATACTCATTAACAACCTGCAATATGCAGATGATAAAACCTTGCTTGCTGAAAGTGAAGAAGACTTAAAATATTTACTGATGAAGATCAAAGAACACAGCCTTTGGTATGGATTGCATCTCAATGTAAAGAAAACAAAAATCCTCACCAGTAGACCAATAAACAACATTCTTATCAATGGAGGAAAGAATGAAGTTGTCAAGGACTTCATTCTTCTTGGATCAACAATCAACACTCATGGAAGGAGCATTCAAGAACTCAAATGACGACCTATTGCATTAGGCAAATCTGCTGCACAAGACCTTTTTAAAGTGTTGAAGAGTAAAGATGTCAGCTTGAAGACTAAGTACACCTGACCCAAGCCATGGTATTTTCAGTAACCTCATATGCATGCGAAAGCTGGACAATGCATAAGGAAGACCATAGAAGAAATGATGCTTTGGAGTTATGGTGTTGGAGGAGAATACTGAAAGTGCCAAAAGCACTAATAGATCCGTTTTGGCAGCCAGAATGCTCCTTGAAGGCCAGGATGGCCAAACTTCATCTCTCATACTTTGGACATATTGTCAGGAGGGACCAGTCTCTGGAGAAGGATATCATGTTTGGTATGGTGGAGGTTTCAGAGAAAAAGAGGAAGACCCCCAAAGAGATGAATTGGCAAAGTTGCAGCATCAATGGACTCAAGTGTGGCAAGAATAGTGAGGTTGGCCCAGGATCGGGCATTATTTCATTCTGCTGTGCATAATGTTGCTATGAGTTGGTACCTACTCGATGGCACCTAACAACAATCACAAGGCATTAATAAGTTGAAATAGACTGTTATTGGCTATTTTGAATTAAAAAAAAAAAAAAAACATGGTTTAGTATGCTAGGAACAACAAATTCAAGAGGAATGGTATAGCATTGTTCCTCAAGAAAACATTTCAAGATGTATCTTGAAGTACAGTGCTGTCTGTGATAAGATAATATCCATACACCTACAAGGAAGACCAGTTAATACCATTACTATTCAAATTTACACACCAATCGCTAAGGTCAGTGATAATGAAATTGAAGAATTCTACCAGCTTCTTCAGTCTGAAGTTGATCAAGCATAGAATCAATATGTATTGATAATTAATGGTGATTGAAATGTGAAGGTTGGGGAAAAAAGAGGAAGGATCAGTAGTTAGAAAATATGGCCTTGGTGATAGATATGATTTCTGGATATCACATGATAGAAATTTGCAAGAACAATGACTTCTTCATTGCAAATACCTTTTTCAAACAATATAAAATATGACTATACACATGGACATCACCAGACGGAATACACAGGAATCAAACTGATTACATTTGTGTGAAGAGATGGTGGAAAAACTCAATATCATCATCCAAAACCAGACCAGGGCCAACTGTAGATCATCAATTGCTCATATGCAAGTTCAGACTAAAGCTGAAGAAAATTTAACCAAGTCCACATGTGCCAAAATATAACCTAGAATATCTCCCATCTAAATTTAGAGACCATCTCAAGAACGGATTTTATGCATTAGACACTAATGACCAAAGACCAGAAGAGTTGTAGGATAACATCAATAGCATCATACAGGAAGAAAGCAAAAAAAAAAAATTTAAAAGACAGGAAAAAATAAAAGGCCAAAATGGATGTCAGAATAGACTCTGAAACTTGCTCTGCAGCATAGCAATGCTACCACACTGGAATAAATGAGGATGTAAGGAAGCTGAAAAGAAAAATTCAAAAGTTAGTTCAGAAAACAAAGTTGAATATCACATTAAAATGTTCACAGACCTAGAATTAGAAAACCAAAAGGGAAGAACATGCTCAACATTTCTCAAGTTGAAATAACTGAAGAAAAAACTCAACCCTTGACTTGTAATATTGAAGGATTCTACAGACAAAATATTGAATGATGCAGAAAGCATCAAAAGAAAATGGAAAAGTCACTGTACCTAAAAGAAATAGTTGATGTTTCACCATTTCAAGAGTTAGCATATGATAAAGAACCAATGGTACTGAAGGAAGAAGTCCAAGCTGCACTGAAGTATTGGCAAAAAATAAGGCTCCAGGAATTGGTTTTAAAAAACGGGGTCGGGATGGGGAGGGGGCTGGGGGAAGGTAGAGGGAGGTTATGGTAGAGCACAGGGTAGGGGGGCACAAACATCATAGTTTGAGTATTGAGGAGGACAACACACAAGTAGGGGAAGAGTGTGGAAGAACAAGGTAGATAGGGGAACAATGAGACAGGTTTGCATGGGCTAAATGAGACAGAGGTAAACAGAGATGCATGCTCAACCTTGGAACAACAGGGCTCTGTGATACAGGGATCAAGGCATAGTTTGAAGAGGGAAAATAATACTAAGATGATTGACTGTCTTATGAATATTGGTTTCCCATCCCTACTATTGTAAAATAGACACTTGAGTAGAATAGAAAGGAATGTCAGGAAACATGATTGCAGAAAACTTGTAAGCCTGTTTTCAGCCTGTAACTTACTGGAATACCTAAAAGGGGTTCTAGAACTTGCCCAATACCTCAGTCTGCAAACAAACTGCCTGCCCAAAGTCACTCAGTTTTATTTACCCCATGGGCTGGGAAACTCACTGCTCTTTTTGATGCTTTGGCTTTTTGTTCTGCTACTGCTGCTCCTCAGCCACTCTTCCGGTGTCACAGCTTTCTCTCTGTGGGTCGAGGAGGTTCAATGCACAGGGATCTCAGGGCCCAAAGAGCGAGCTCCACTCCTGACTCTTGTTTGATGGTAGTGAGACCCAGCCCTTCCTGCTTCTGAGATAGTTCTTTTTCTACCCATGTTAGAGTTCTACGTTTTCACAATCAATCTTATTAATAGTCCCTCACAACTGAATCATATAATCCATCAGCATTTTCCTTTGCCTTCAAGGAAATGCAGTTTAGTGGATGTTACAAAGACTATGACTAGAGGAGACATTTGAATTAGTTCACTGCACAGCAATTTCTGCTGTATTGCTTTGTACTTGTGGGGCAGGATTGAGTGATGATTTGTTCACACTGATAGTTTGTCAGAATTTCCAAAGAAACTCTAATATTATTTTTGAGCATTTAAATTTAGTTTTTAATAGCCACAAATGACTAGTGGCTACTATACTATAAAGTGCTACTTTAGAAAAAAACATAAAGGACAGCTTTGTGATTTTGGAGTGGCAAGACTATAAACAAGACATGCTACTTGTATACCATAGGTCAGGAAGCAGGCTGAAGACTTCTCTCAGCTTACAGGATTGAGGGGCTGGTGAGTCAAAAATCTATAGGTCAGGCAGAAGACCAGAGACTTCTGCAGGCTTACATTCCAGGAGCCTATCAGTTAAGGATTGTGTGTTGCGATGATGCTAAACAGCAGCGTTTCCAGACTAAGAATGGAAAGAAATGCTTTGTAATCTACTGAAAATTCGCCGGTAAAATCCCTATGGATCACAATGGCTCAATTGACACTGAATCATGAGGATGGTGCAAGATTGGACAACATTTAATTTCATTGTACATGGAATCTCCATGAGTCTGGGACTGACTTGATAGTAGCTAACAACAACAAAAACTATGTTAGGATTAAATTGATAAATTGCACCCTGTAATCCTGTTCTCCACTCCCCCGAGACTACCCTTTCCTGATTTAGCCTGTTGAGGTAAAATCCTGGGTTCTCCTTGTGTTTCTGTAGAACTGAGGACTCCGCATGCCTGATTAGCCTGGCCTGTACACAAAACAAGACTTTGGCAGTGCAGTGAGACAGGCTAGCAGCTGGAGCATGCAGAGACTGTGGAGCAGCCCCACTTAACAGGCTTGGAGAGGTCCAAGGAAGGCCTAGACCCACAGGAGGGTATCAGCAGACAAAGCCCCTTAAATCTTGGAGTCTCCTGAGTGGACCAGCAAGTGGGTGTGCAAAGGGTTGATGATGCCAATCAAGGGACGCTACTTCCTCAATGAGGGTGAAGAGAGCCCAGGCCAGGATGCACTCTTTGAGAAGTACAGTCTTACCAACCAACATGGGCCACTACTGTTAATACTCCTGTTCATAGCTACCATGGTCTGCATTGCCCTCATCACCATCACCCTCATCACTGAGGTAAGTGAGGGCACTGGATGGGCAGTATGGGATGGGCAAGGTCCTTCTCCAATCCCAGCTCTGACACTCTGTACTTGACTTTGGACAAGTCCTTATTCTCTATATAAACTGGTAGAAGACAGGATTTTTATTTTCTGTTTTGAAGTCTGAAGTGGTTAAATAAATCACGCTACTTTTGCCTCACAATAAAATTAGGTTTTATTAAAGACCTAGGCCAGGGATAGCCTTTGTATGCCTGCACCATAGCAGACATCATTAATTGATTCCAGCATCTCTTAGTGCAATTATTCAGGCATTCCTTCCATTGTCATCTCTGATATAGACTTGCCTTGCTAAAGCCACTAGCTTACGAGAGGCCACTGAGTACTTGAAAAGTTGCTATTACGACTGAGGAACTGTGTTTTTTAATTTTATTTAATTATAAATTTAGTGGCTACTGTAACAGACATCAGAATTCTAGAAGAAAACACAGGAGGCTTTCTGGTGTTTTAATAGTTGATGTTTGTAAAGTAGCCAGTACACAGTAGGTGCTCTGTCAATGTCATCTGTATCTAAATAGTTGCTGGGAACACGGTCACTCCATACAAGAAGCACTGAGCTGTGAACAACAAGATTGGTGGTTTGAGCCCACAAGCCGCTTGGCAGGAGAAAGATGAGGCTTTCTGCTCTTAGAAAGATTTCAGGCTTCTGAAACCCTAAACAGAGTTGCTATGAGTCAGAACCAACTTGATGGCACTTAAAAACAATAACCAACCAGTCACTATTGAGTTGATTCTAACTGCATAGCAACCCATGTTTGGTAGAGTAGAGCTAGGATTTTTTGTTTGTTTGTTTGTTTTTTTAATGTTTTATTGTGAATTATATGATAGTTTACATGGGAGAACATTAGTTTTACATTCATTCTATCATATATAGTTCCATTGCCATGGTTACAATCCCCTCCGTGCATCAATCAACAAACCCTGCAAGCCTGCCCCTACACTACCAACACCCCCACCCCCACCCCCATTCTTCAGCACACAGTTGCTCTCCCTCTCTGGATCTAAAGTCCCCAGCTGCTCCATTGCTCCATGTCATCAACTCTGCCTCCATCTCAGGCATCACTGCTTCTCTGGGTAGGGAGGGTCCCACTCTCTGCTCTTCTCCTTTGATGGTGCTAGGGAACTCCGCTCCTAGACTGGAAAGTTAATAACTCCCTTCCTTGCTATAAAAGTCTACCTTTTACATTTCCAACCCTTACAATCAGTCCTGATAACAATTATTCACTATTGTTTCACAAGAGACCCATCTGCATTTCATCAGCTCCGCCTAGACAGATTGGCTAGTACTCACTGGAGATTCTGCCTTCCTCCAGGACCCTGACTCTAGGATCCCTCTTGAAAGCTTGCCAGCCAGTCACATCTTGCCTTTGTAGCCACCACCCCCACAATTTGGGTAGCCAGTGTCCAAATTGCCCATCCCTGTCTACTCTGTGTGTGGAGGAGGTGGGAATGATTCTTGCTGTGAGGATTTGTTCCCTCTTTTGAGCTAATGCATCCAAAGGTGTAGGTCAAGTTCATCAAATTGTATCAGATTACTCTTTTTTTCCTCTTCTTTCTTCTTCTGGTTAAGCTCTGATCATCCAGTCATTGAAGTCAGGTCAAGTGAGTATTATCTGCAAGTGTGGGTGTTCTTGTGCATATGCCCTCTCTTTTTATCAGCTGCACGCTTCACTCTCCACATTGTAGGGCTTAGCTCGACACTTCGTTGCTGTTTTTCCCTCACTTCCCCTTATCGGTGAGGAGCGTGGTCACCAATCAGAGCGTGTATTCCCATTGAGTCTTATTCTTGGAAGGGGGTTTGCACTGAGGAGACCCAATCACTTGCCTTAATGTTTCCTGGGCAAGCAACTTGTTTGTTCTTGTAGTAACAGTCCTTCTGCCTCTATTGTTTTGTATTTTTCCTGTAGGTCTTACTTTCAAGAAGTATCTTCTGTTCTTTTAGCCGCTCCAGGCTAGTCTGCTCGTCCTTTCAAGTGGAAATTTCCCATCTCTGGAGATTTGGATGTAGTTCAGGCTTCCACCTATAGTCTTATGTATTGCAGAGGCTCCACAGGAAGCCTCCTTCACTGGGCACGTTGTAGCCCCAGTTTAGGTATTCCAATCAGTTACAGGCAGAAGACGGACTTACAAGCTTTCTATGGTGATGCTTCTGGCTATTCCTTTCTCTCCCCCTCCAGTGTCTATTTTATAATATAATGCAAGGAAAACCAAGATTCAAAAGACAGCCAAGCATCTTAACATTATTCCCCACTTTTCCGCATTCCAAACATGTCTCAATCTGTGTATCCCAAACCTGTAGTTCCAAGGTTGTGCATACATCATTCTTTACCTCTGTCCTACTTAGCCCATTCAAACCTGCCTAATTGTTCTCCCATCTGCTTTGTTCTTCCATTCCCCTCTATCTTCTTGTATATTGCTCCCCTCCCTAGCACCCAAACTTTCCTGTGTCTAATCCCTGCCCTGTGCTCCACCTTCCCCTCCCTCCCCTCACCCACCCTCAACATCCCAGCAATCAATAAAGAATTTCCCCACCTACCTTTAGTATGGGTTCTTTTTCTTAATCTTTTACAGTAGTGGTCCTATGCAGTATTTCTCTTTTTGTGACTGCCTAATTTCACTCAACATAATGTCTTCAAGATCCATCCATGTTATGCGGTGGCTTGCCGCTTCCTTGTTATTCTTCAAGGTAGCATAATATTCCATTGTGTGTATGTACCACAGCTTGTTTATCCACTCTTCAGTTGATGGGCACTTTGGCTGTCTCCATCTTTTTGCTATTGTAAATAGTGCTGCTATGTTCATTGGTGTGCATCTATCTTCTTGTGTTGTGGCTCGTATTTCTTGTGGGTAAATACCAAGTAGAGGAATTGCTGGATCATAAAGTATTTCTATTTTCAACCTTCTGAGGAAGCGCCATCTTGCTTTCCAAAAAGGTCGGACCATTTTGCAATCCCACCAGCAATGCAGGAGTGTCCCAGTCTCTCCACATCCCTGCCAGCATTTATTGTCCTCTACATTTTTTATCTTTGCTGTTATTGTTGGTGTGAGATGATAGCTCATTGTTGTTTTGCATCTCTCTAATGGTTAGTGATCATGAACATGTCTTCATATGTTTGTTGACTGCCCGGATCTCTTCCTTATTGAAGTGTCTGTTCATGTCCTGTGCCCACTTTTTAATTGTGTTATTTGTCTTTTTCTTGTAGAGGTGTTGTAGTTTCCTGTATATTTTAGAGATGAGTCTCTTGTCTGATGTGTCATTGCAAAATATTTTTTCCCATTCTGTGGGTTCCCTTTTTACTCTTCTGGTGAAGTCTTTTGAGTCTTTTGATGCACATAAATTTTTAATTTTTAGTATGTCCCACTCATCTATTTTATCTACTTTTGTTTGTGTGGATTTCAAAAAGTTTTGTAGTCTGTGTATTCCCAGAATTAGTGCCCTCACATTTGTCCCAATTTTTTCATTGATGACCTTCATAATTCTGGGATTCACATTTAGGTCCTTAATCCATGTTGAGTTGGTTTTTGTACAAGGTCTGAGGTGAAGGTCTTGTTTCAGTCTTTTGCATATCATTTTCCAGTCCTGCCAGAACCATCTGTTGAAGATACTATCACCTCCTCATGCGATATATTTAGGTGTTTTGTCAAAAATCACTTGGCTGTATGTAGATGCGTTAATTTCCGGATTCTCGGTCTATGTACCTTTCATTGTACCAGTACCAAGCTGTTTTGACCACTGTAGCCGTGTAGTAAATTTTGAAGTCGGGAAGTGACAGGCATCCCACCTTATTCTTATTCTTAATCAGTGCTTTGCTTATCCTGGGTCTCTTTCCTTTCCATATAAACTTTGTAATTGTTTTTTCCATCTCTTTGAAGAATGTCATTGGAATCTGGATTGGGATCGCATTATATGTGTAAATTGCTTTGGGCAGCATTGACACTTTCACAATGTTAAGTCTTCCTATCCAGGAGCATGGTACATTCTTCCATTTTTGTAAATCTCTTTTGGTTTCTTGTAGTAGTGTTTTGTAGTTTTCTTTGTATAAGTCCTTTGTTTCTCTGGTTACATTTATTCCTAGATATTTCATCCTTTGGGTGGCTATTGTAAATGGTATTCCTTTCCTAATGTCCTTTTCAATGCTGTCGTTTTTGGTCTAGAGGAATCCAACTGATTTTTGTATGTTGGTCTTATACCCTGCCACTTTGCTGAATCTTGCAATGAGGTCTAGTAGCTTTTTTACTGAGTCTTTGGAGTTTTCTACATTGAGGATCATATCGTCTGCAAATAGGGAGAGTTTGACTTCCTCTTTGCCAATTTGGATGCCTTTAATTTCCCAGTCTTGCCGTATAACTCTTGCTAAGACTTCCAGCACAATATTGAATAGGAGTGGTGGCAAAGGGCATCCTTGTTTGGTTCCTGTTCACAGAGGGAAGGCTTTCAGTTTCTCTCCATTGAGAGTAATGTCGGCTGTTGGTTTTGTATATATGCTCTTTATTATGTTGAGGAATTTCCCTTCAATTCTTAATTTGTTGAGTGTTTTTATCAGGAAAGGATGTTGGATTTTGTCAAATGCCTTTTCTGCATCAATCGATATGATCATGTGGTTCTTTTCTTTTTTCTTATTTGTATGGTGGATAACGTTGATCATTTTTCTAATGTTGAACCATCCTTACATCCCTGATAGGAATCCCACTTGATCATGATGTATTATCTTTTTCATGTGTTGCTGGATTCTGTTGGCTAGGATTTTGTTGAGAATTTTTGCATCTATGTTCATGAGGGATATTGGTCTGTAATTTTCTTTCTTAGTGATGTCCTTCCCTGGTTTTGGTATGAGTGTTATGCTTGTTTCATAAAATGCATAAGGAAGTTTTCCATCCTCCTCTATCTTCTGAAATAGTTTGAGTAGAATTGGTGACAGATCTTCCCTGAATGTTTGGTAGAATTCACCAGTGAAGCCTTCTGGGCTTGGACTCTTTTTGGTTGGGAGAGCTAGGGTTTTTGATGGCTCATTTTTTTTTTTTTTTTTTGAATTAGAAAACCAGGCCTTTCTTCTAAGACTCTTTTTGGGTAGACGTGAACCTCCACTAGCACATTAATCAGTTCCACTACCTAGGGACTCAAAAAAATCCAGTTGCCAGCAAGGTGACTGACTCATGGCAGCCACATCTTTGTCATAGTAGATCTGTACTCCATAGGGCTTTCAATGACTGATTTTTCAACAGTAGATTCCCAGGCCTGTCTTCTGAGATTTTAGACTCAAGCCATCACCCAGGGACTTCTGTGGATATAAACTGCAGGGCATTTGTTTCATCTTTCAACAAATAGCTATTGAGTGTCTTCTTTCTGCAAGGCACCCAGACCAGGACTTGACAAAACCAGGACCTGCTGTCACTTGTCACACCTTTGTACCTTTGCTCAACCCCCTCCCCATCTGGAATACCTTTTCTCATCATTCCCTCACAAACCTCAGTTCATTCTTTAAGAGCCAGAAATAATGTCTCCCTATCACCAAACAAAGATTTGGAGGTCTGGAAGAACCTGATGGTGGCAGGAGCCCAACTTCACCCACATGGAGGGTGCCTGCTGCGATGTTGGCCAAGGTTGCTCTCTGTGGGTGAGCTGTGGCATGTGTGTGTGTTTCTTTCCCATCCAGGTACCCTCCGAACATAAGACTGTCCTGGGAACAGCATTTGTAATGCTTGTCATGTTTGCTGCTCTGTACCTGCTGGTGTTTGTCGACTGCCTCGTGCGGAGGGGGCTCAGGGTTTTGGCACTGCTCATCTGGGCTTGCCTCATGACACTGGGCTATGTGCTGCTATTTGATTCATGGATGGACTTTTCATGGAAGCAGGTAATGAGATGAGGTCCTGCGTATTCCTGTCCCTATGTCTGGAGGCCAGGTGCACAAGGGACAGCTGTCACTCTTGCTGGGCATTAGGTCCCTTCTGGTTTGCTGGGAAAGGCCCTGCCCACTCTCCGTTGCTATAGTTTAAGACTTTGTACAGAGCTCTGATATTTTGTTCTTAGTGGTCTGTGCTGATAGTTGTGGTTGTTAAGTGTCTTTGAGTCTGTTCGATTCATAGTAACTCTGTATAGGGTTCCAAGGACTGGCTGGTGAATTTGAACCACGAACCTTGTGATTCAGACTGACTGTATGAGTTGTTGCTGTTATGTGCCAAAATGATCCTGTATAGGGTTTCTAAGGAACAGCTAATGGGTGTCAACTGCTGACCTTGTGGTTTACAGTCTAGTGCTGATTCTACAGTGCCACACCAGAAGTGTCCTGAAAGGGGAAAGGTGAATGTCTGACCATGGTGTTTCTGTATAGCCCCTTCTATCAGTCATTGAGTTAATTCATACTCATAACAACCTTACAGGACAGAGTAGAAGTGCTCTTACACTCAGTTGATGGTCAATGACAAAAGCCCAAACTCAAAGCAAAAAGGCCAAATAGACTTATGCATCAGAAAAGGCTGAGAGGACAGTACTGGTGTTCCAACTGGACGGCCAGAGCTGATCTCTTACCCTGTCTTTGGCCTTGCTTTCCTCTGTAGTTTGTCCCCATGCTGATTGGCCAAGGTGGGGGTGGAGATGTCAGTAAGCAATTACAGGCTGCCCATCCATCAGCTTAGTCACCCCCACAGAGAGAGACAGCCTTTATCCAACCCAAAACAGCCCCAGCAAGAGTCCCGTGGTCATGGCCCAGCTTAGACACTGTTGGTGAAGGTTGTTCCATTCTGTTCCTCTGCTCAGTGCATTTGGGCCATATGACCCTGTACTGGGGTGGGATCAGGTTCATTTAAAGCATGTAGACTGAGAGTTCATAAGGAGAGAGATTCCCTACAGAAAATGCCACTCTGGTCCTGGAGGGGGTGGATGCAGGGCAGGTTTGAGCAGCACCTGGCCTTCTGGGTTGGTTCCCAGCATGGATGGGCACTGCTGAAGGGATTCTGAGTGGTCTTTCTCAGACTCCCCTATGTAATGACTTCTGCTGTGGGAGGACCACATGGTGTGGGCACCTGTGAAGCTCATTAGTCACAAACATGGAGTCTCACTCCTGAGGTCACAGAATCAAACAAGCACATAGGAAGCGATGGATAATGCCAGCTGGGCTAGACCCTGAAGCACATTGTCACTGTTTTTTGTTCCATCTCATGTCCATCACTGGTGCTGGTTGTGTCTCACGCAGAGGGAGTGGGGCTGAGGACAGATGGGGTTTGGCATTCAAGTTTCTGGGAACCATCCCCACAAGCCATTGATCTTTGCTCAGCCTTGGGGTTTTGTTCTGGGCTAGAGACAGCTTGGCCAGGCACATCCCTGAATAGATGGCTGGTGTTCTGAGTCTGATGGTGGCCTGTCCCCAGGTACCCTTCTTCCAGTTTGTCATCTTCGTGGTATACACACTGCTGCCCTTCAGCATGTGGGGGGCCATTGTGGTGGGGATTGTCTCCACCACCTCCCATCTCCTTGTGCTTGGAGTCCTTGAGGGGATCTACAAGATGCCTAGTGACGACTACGTGGGAATGAAGGTAAGGGGTAGGCTGGGGGGCCTCTAAGGTAGAGTATGAAGTTTGGGGCTAAGAGCAGCCAGAGCTCTATGGAGGGAGTTGGACCCCTAAGCCTCAGGGCAAAATTTGGAGGCAGGCCACAATGCACCAAGGCCAGGTTCCCCAAATTTGCTGGTCCAGGACTCCCAGAAGTCCCAGCCCTCACCTGAGTCCTGACTCTGACCCTCCTTCCTGGGTCTTGTGTGTTGCTGTGGAGTAACATTCCTGAGTTCTGTGAGTTTGTGTTGTGTGAGGTGAATCTATTATTGATAATCAGTAGTGACTCATGGTGTTTTGCCCCTGATGGTCCTGGGCACCCACCCTGGGAGATAGCTGGTGCTACATCAGGCCCTGGACTCTTTGAAGTGGCGCCACCTCTGAAAGCCCTTCTGGACCATCAAATGCCTGAAGGATGCATAGCAGGGGCCAGAGTGCTGGTCCTATGGTTGTGGGACCTCAAGAGGAGGTCTGCCTCAGGAATGGGCAGCAGCTTGAGTCGACTGGAGGTCGGGAAAGGGGATGGCTACTTTCCTTGACCTGAACCTGGAAACTGCCAAGGGAGGTGGTGTGGGGACATAGCTGGACTGAATCCTGAACTCCGTCCCATCCTACCCCAGCTGCTATGCAGCGCTGCTGTCTTCCTGTGTGGAAATCTCACTGGTGCCTTCCACAAGCATCAGATGCAGGATGCCTCCAGAGACCTCCTCACCTACACTGTGAAATGCAACCAGATCCGCAGCAAGCTGCGCATTGAGAAACGGCAGCAGGTAGGCCCCCTGCCTCCAGAATCCCCATTCTCCAACCCCCAAATTCCCTGCACTTACCTTCCCATACCTCTGACACCTGTATCCTCAACCTCCCCACAACTATCCACTCCCTGCATAGCCTCCATCCCCCACCTCCACACTGCCCCAAATCATTTTATCTCCCTACCTTCCATGCCTGCACTCCCACCCAATGACTCCCATTTTCCTACCACCCCCACATTCCTCACACTCTCTGCCTCTTCCACTTCACATCCCCTCCCTACCCCAAAACCCATGCTCCCCAAACTTTCACACTTCCATTCCCCACCATCCTTCTCCTGTTTCCTTTGGGTCCTTTGACCCTATGGAGCTGCCGTGCACATTCGGAACATGGCCAGACCAAGGTGGTATCACTCCAGGGGGCTGCTGAGGACATGGGAGGGAGTTGGTGGCAGGATATATGTCAGCAGAGATGGAGGCATTATGAACAAAGACAATAGAAATGAGGCCTGTCTTTACTGGACTGCCCTGCATGCCCAGGAGAACCTGCTGCTGTCGGTGCTGCCAGCCCACATCTCCATGGGCATGAAGCTGGCCATCATCGAGAGGCTAAAGGAACACAGGGACCGTCACTATGTGCCCGACAACAACTTCCACTGCCTCTACGTCAAGCGGCACCAGAATGTCAGGTGGGTGGTGGGGCAGGGTCCCAAAGAAGGCCTGGCAGGTGGCCTCCCTGATCTCCTTTCTGGGGCTCATACCCCAGCCCACATCGGGATTGTGAACTGGGCAGAAATCTCAAAGAGCACCAGCAAAACTAGTTGCTGTTGAGTGTACTCCAACTTACGGTGACCTCATGTGTGCTCCATACGATTTTCAAGAACTAATTTTTTGAAAATAGATCACCAGGTCTTTCTTCTTAGGCACCTTTGGGTGAATTCTAGCCTGCAGTTAGAAGTTAGCATGTTAAATGTTTGTACTACCCAGTGACTCAGGGGTATTGTTGTCATTGTTAGATACTTTAGTGTTGGTTCCAACTCACAGTGACCCCGGGCACAGAGCAGAATAAAATATTGTCCAGTTCTGTGCCATCCTCACAATCATTGTTGTTTTTATTTTTTAAAGATATATTTCAGTTTATTTAAATTGTTAATTAGAATATGAAACCGAATTTGTAGTTAGTACCAGAAAATGGATTGAACTGTTTGTATTTAATGATAACAGCTTCTAAACAGGCTTCCAAGAGACTTACAGAAAAGCGGGAAAGCCCTAATATTATGCAACTAAAACTAGTGTTTCAAACAGATTAAAACAGATACAAAAACCGATTTATACGCCATTTCCTCACTCCCTTTTTTTATATATTTAGAAAGTGCAGGTTTAACAAAAGGTAGCCATATCCTTTCTAAATACAATGCCAATCATAGTTATGCAAACAAAGCTGTTAGTCAGTTACCCCAAAATCCCAGTGTTCAGCTCTTAAATCTTAAGTCACTAAATTTTAACAAGGATTAGAGAGAGTTAAAAATTTTAAAAGCTACAACCACATTCCAGATACAAAAGGAAGACACAAATACAACAGTAGGTTTAACCTTAAACTGGTTGAGTAGCTTACCATCATTTCAGTATTATTTTTGGTGGAAAATTACTGATTATCTGGCAATGCTGCTTTTTCTACTAGTAAATAATGATAAAGTCAAGTGAGGGAAAAACCTAACAACAACCAGTGAGGCATATAAAATTGTTTTTAGGACACTATCTAAAAATTCATGGATTTTCATAGCAGATATGTTCCTATGTTGTTTATATGAGTCAAGAGGACATTAAAATGCTATCCATGACACAGACAGACTTTTCAATGGAAGCTGCTGTCCTAAACTCAGCCTCTGCTAGAAATGAATCATACTGTTCACAGTTATTTTAAGAAAGGTGTCAAATCATTGCTGTTTGAAACCATTATTGCAACCACTGTGTTAGTCTGTTTCATTGAAGGCCTTCTTTTTCACTGACCCTCCACTTTACCAAGTGTGGTTTCCTACTCCAGGCACTGGTCCCTCCTGATGTCATGTCCATAACACAAAAGAAGTCTTGCCATCCTTGCTTATGAGGAGCATTCTGGCTGTACTTCTTCTAAGACAGATATGTCCATGGTATATGAGGGGCCTTCAAAAACATTCAATTCCAGTTTTCCATAAACTTTTTTTTTTTTAATGTTTTATTGTGTATTGAGTGATACATGGGGGAACATTAGTTTTACATTCATTCTATCCTATATCGTTTCATTGCCTTAGTTATCATCCCATCCATGCATCATCCCCCAACAAAAGGGTAGACCTTGCATGTCCACCCCCACCCCACAGTCCTCAGCACCCAGCCCCTTTCCCTCTCTGGGTCTCAACTCCCCAGGCACTCCATCTCTTCACGTTATCCTCTGTGTCTTCATCTCAGGCCTCACTGCTTCTCTGGGTGGGGTCCCGCTCTCCTTTCTTCTCCGTTGATGGTCCCAGGGCCCTCCGCTCCTAGACTGAACGGTTAGTCACTCCCCTCCTTGCTATAAAAATATCCACCTTTACATTTCCAGTCCTCACAATCAGTCCTGGTAACAATTTTCACCATTGCATCACATGAGACCCATCTGCATTTCTTTTCATCAGCCCTTCCTAGACAGGTTGGTTACTATACACTGGAGACTCCACTATCCTCCCCACCCTGTGGATCTAGGTTCCCTCTTGAAAGCTTGTAAGCCAGACACTTCTTACCTTTGCATCCCTCCCCCCATTTTGGGTAGCCAATGTTCAAGTTGCCCATCCCTTTCCACTCTTTGTGTGAAGGGGGTGGGGATAATTCTTGTAGCTGGGAATTTTTTCCTCTTTTGAGCTACTGCAGTTATAGGTGTAGGTCCAGTTCATCAAGTTGTATCAGATGACACTTTATGTTTATTTTATTTTTTTTATTTTTCTTCTTCTTTCTTTCTCGGGTTGAGTTCTGTTCATCCAGTCATTGAAGCCAGGTCATGTGGGTATCATCTGCAAGTGTGGGTGTTCTTACGTCTCTCTGCCCTCTTCTTATCAACTGGTCTCTTTGCTCTCTGCTCTAGTCCTCTGTGGCTGTGTCACTGACTCTGAGCCCATGGGTCCTTTGGTTCTGCCTCGCTTCAGACCGACCAAGTCTCCACCCAGGTTCGCAGTAGTGTGCAGAACAATGCAGGTCACTTCCCTTTATGGGTGACAGAGTGTGGATTTCCATTGCATCTTAGTCTTGGGAGAGGATCTGCACTGAGAGGACCCTGCCACTTGCCTTGATGCCTCCTGGGCTAGCAACTTGCTTGTTCTTGTGGTAGCAGTAGGACTGCTCTTACTGTTCTGTATTTTTCCTGTAGGTCTTTCTTTCAAGAAGTGTCTTCTGGTTTTCTGGCTGCTCCTGGCTGGTCTGCTTGCCCTTTCAAGAGGAAAGTTTCCTGTCTCTGAAGGTGTGAGTGTGGTTAGGCTTTGATCTATATTCTTATGTACTGCTGAGGCTCTTCAGGAAACCTCCTTCACTGGATACATTGTAGTCCCCTTTTAGGTATTCCAATCAGTTATAGGCAGAAGACGGTCTTACAAGCTTTCTAAGGTGACATCTTTGGCTATTCCTTTTTCTCCCCTTCCAGTGTCTGTTTTATAATATAATGTATGGGAAACGCAGGTTCAAAAGTCAGCCAAGCATCTTAACATTATTCCCACCTTTTCCCCATTCCAACCATATCCCAGTCTCTGTATCCCAGAGCCCTGTTGTTCCAAGGCTGTGCCTATATCTTTTTTTTTACTTCTGTCCCATTTAATTCATTCATATCTGTCTAGTTGTTCTTCCATAAACTTTTTGAATCACCTTTGTAGTTAATATTTTCCCTAACACCACAATTCAAAGGCATCATTTTTTCTTCTTCCTTATTCATTGTCCAACTTTCACATGCATATGAGTTGATTCAAAATACCATGATTTGTGTGAAAAGCATAAAGGGGCACAGGTCCCTCCTAACTGAGCGTAAGTCCCCTCCAGTCTTGGCACCAATTTGAAAGGACTACAGAATCTTAAATGTGGTTGTGGGTCTTGTGAGGCTGACCTGGCTCTGCCTGTTGGCTCAACATTACACCTAAGCACTGATCATGCTCAAAACAGAAAGAGTTGCCACAAACTGCAGCACTGGCATCCCAGCAGGTCATTCAATGTCTCTGAGCCTCCTTTGCTTGTCTGTAGAAGGGGAAGGTTACATGGGGTGTGTGAAGATGATGTGTGTGAAGTGTTGGGTTGTGGATCTTGGCTTAAGGGAGCATGGAGTCACATTTTACGGGGAGTTTACTTCTAAAGTCTATACTAATGGTGAGATTGCTGGTCTAGGAAAGGAAAATAATTTCTACATTGGAAACCTGCCTGTAAGGACATCATTCAATCATCTGCCCTGGCTGAGGGTAACAGGGGCTCCAAAGGGCCTGCAATCTATGGGTTTACTACACTTTGCTTTAACCTTATACCTCTGGAACTTTAAGTCAGCCCTGTGGCCAGGAGCTCAACCAGGCAGGGACAGTTGAGGCCCTGGCGGTTGAGGGAGCCCTTGACTCAGATCTGGCAGATGTCCAGGAGCCCTAGATAGCCCTCCTTACTCCTTCTGTCCATCTTCCACTGACTCCAACCTTCCACTGTCTCACCCTCCAGCATCCTGTATGCAGACATTGTGGGCTTCACGCGACTGGCCAGCGAATGCTCTCCCAAGGAGCTGGTGGTGGTGCTCAATGAGCTTTTTGGCAAGTTTGACCAGATCGCCAAGGTGAGCCTGAATCAGGTGCTGCTGCCCCTCATGGATGCCACACCCTTCCCTCTATGGACCATAATGTTAGGAGTCCCTCTCATTGCATCCATGGTGGATGGGGTATGCCCAGCACTGTGCTGGGATCAAGACAGGGAAGCCTGGGCTGAATCTTAGCATTCAGTCAGCAAATGCTTCCCAGTACCTGCTATGTGCTAGCTTGAGGAAGAGGGGAAGGTAGAAGTGGGCAAGGTAAGTAGAGATCTCCCCAAGAGTGTGTGGTGGTGGGGAGACAGGTGGCACTCACTGGGTAAATGCATGAGGACTATGCTCAGAAGAAACTTGAAAAGGCTGCTTGGAGGAAGAGATGGCTTATTCTCCCTACATAAGACCAGAACCTCAGCCTCCCCTGGCTAGGAAGGATTTCAGAATGCTGGACTACATCTTAGATGATATTAAAGTTTGAGAAAGCCATAAAGAGATGTAAAGGATCCAGACAAAAGAGAACAGTATTCAGGCAGGGAAGGTAAAAGCCCAGAGTAGAGGAAAAACTTTATCTCATGAAATTCACATGTCTCACTGTGAATGTGACCGAGTGAGAGGGAGACAAGGTTGCCAGGTGTGCAGTGCTTTGAGAGATGAAGTGAGGAGTGGGGATTTGACTTAAGGACCCTGGGCGGCAAGGAAGATGCCTAGCAGAGTAGAGGTACTGGGCAAGTAGGGGCTCTAGGGTGCAGCCAACTGGGGAAGAATCTGGAGAGCAGACAGGGCTTGGCTGAGATCCCACTTACTGTTTGTTTTGTCTTTGTGTGTGTGCATGCACATGCATGTGTTGTGGTTGAGAGGAATACTTGTTGTTGTTGTTAAGTGCCGTCAAGTCGACTCCAGAGGAATACTTGTTATTGTTGTTGTTAAGTGCCGTCGAGTCAGTTTCGACCCATAGCGACCCTGAATAGGGTTTCCGAGGCTGTAAATCTTTACGGGAGCAGATCGCCTCATCTTTCTCCCGCGGAGCAGCTGGTAGTTTCGAACTGCTTACTTAGTCATCCATTAATTCACCAAGTGGTGCTGAGACCGTCTGAGTGTGAGGCTCTAAGGTGTGGGCCATCCATCTAGCTGTTCACAATCTATGTGCAATGTGCTTTGTTTGAATAGGAGTGCAGGGGGCTAAGGGAACCTGGGAACACTGAGTCCAGAGATGATTCCTGTTCAAGAGACGATTCCTGGAAGAGGTGGCTGCTAAGTAACAACTGAAGCATAGATCTAAGCTTAGATCTCTATCTCAATTGCACATTTGAATCATATGGGAAACTTCAACACCAATACCCAAACCCCACACCCATCAGAGATTTTAAGAGTCCCCAGGTGATTCTCTGTGTAGAAAACCAAAGGTCTAGAACTTGATGGGAGTCAAGTACTGGTTCCACTCAAGGGAGATGTTTTTGATGGTCAGAACTTTTGAATCCTAGGAGGGATTTCTACATCAGGAGGTAGGCGTACAATCACAGTAGATAACCAAATCCCTACTGATGAAAATGAACAGCAAGTTTCATGTCCATGGAATGACATGGACACAGAGTGAAAGGGGAACAAAGTCATGAGAACCTTTGCCAGGGATGTCTCAAAGAAGTGTCCTGCCCTAGGCATTGGAGGCTGAGTGCTCTCGTAGTCTTGTCTAGTCAGGAGTCTTGTTTCATTCAGGAGCTTAAACTTTTCCTGAACCAGCAGGTGGGGGCCCCGGTGGTTGGCCATAGGGGGTGCAGGTGCCTGGATATCAGAACACAAATGTCCCTCTCTGCTACAAATCCAGTGATCTCTCCCTCTATATGTGCTCAGGAGGTGGAGCCCTGATGTGCAGATAGGGAAAGGAGGCCTGGGCAGGTGCTACCTCTCAGCTAGAGGGTCCAGCCTCTGGGCAGAGATGGTCCCAGCTATTTTTCCCACCAGCAATCAGTAACCTCCCCCCAAGAGCCAGGGCTCACTTGCCCAGAGGATCCCCATTGCTTCTGGGCTCTGGGTCCCCAAATTTCCTGGTTTGTAAGTCATACGCACAGTGGACCTGTCAGATGTGCAGAGGAGTAGTCTTGGTGCCAGGTTCCCACAGTCCACCGGTTCCCAACAGTCGATGTTAGCTGAGGCTGGTCCAGAGGGCAGTCCTGCACTGGTTGGAACTGATCTCCTCTTCCAGCTTCTTGTCACTTTCTAGAAAGCCCCTGTCCTCACATCCTTCCTGCTTCTCAGAACCCAAATTGTGCCAGACAGGCCTAATAGGAAACACTTGACACACACTCAAGTTGGGTAATCTGAGGAGGATGAAGTAAATGGAGTTTTCACAAAAGTTTGCACAGGTACAAAGAACTTCCAGGGAGGGCTGGTGCTGTGCTGGGTCAGACCTGATGGACATGAGGGAGCAGGTGCGAGACCTGGAGATGAGGATGTCTTCTTCAGAAGCTTAGCTGACTTTTAGGGATCCTACAGTACTCCAGTTCTCACCTTCCTCCTTCTAGTCTACCTGAAAGCCAGAGAGTAAGACTGTCAATGTACTCACAAGGGACAGCAGGAATTGGTATGGGTTGGTGTAGGATGCAAGGAGGGGGAGTAAGTTGGAGGGCAAAGGATCACAGCCCAATCATGTAGCTTCCTCTTCAGAGTTCCTAAAACCTACCCACAAGGCCTTGGTGTGTATAGCCTTTGCTCAGGGTTCCCATGGCCACAGCACAATCTCAGTTGGAACCTTGGACACCCCTCCCGTTCTGTCCTCCTTCTGTGGCTGTTTCTTCACATTAGCCTGGTTTCATGTGACCTGAGCTTCATCCTTCTCAACTTCTTTCTCTGCACACTCATCTTTCCTGTCTGCTCTCCTTCTACCTCCTAAACTTTGCTCATTTTGCATGCGTAGCCACAAAGTTCTCTTTGGTTACCTTGACACCTGTTAATTCTTGCCCTTGGGCCTCACCATTCCTTATTTGCTACCTCTGCCCTCATTTTTCCTCACTCACTCCACTTCAACCTCAGGGCCTTTGCATGTGCTGCTGCTTTCTGGAATGCTTGTCCTTCAGTACTGATGTGGCTCATTCTCTTGGTTCTTTTTTCAAATGTCACCTTCTTCAGTAGGCCTATTCTGACCTCCTGGGAACAGCTTCTCCCATCCAATGCCTCATTTTCTCTGAAACACCAATCACTATTAGGTGTGTGGCTGTGTGCCGTGGAGTTGGTTCCGACTCATAGTGACCCTGTACAGGGTTTCTGAGGCTGTAAATCTTTATGGGAGCAGAACGCCTCATCTTTCTCCCGCAGAACAGCTGGTAGTTTCAAACTGCTGACCTTGCAGTTTGCAGCCCAATTTGTAACCACTATGCTACCAGAGCTCCTTAGATTTGGTGCATAGATATGATTTATCTTACTTAGTGTTCAACTCTCTCACCGGCATATGGTGAAAAAGGGTTGCAGGGATTTTTGTTCACTGTTGTGTCCCAGGGCTATTCACTCAGTAGGTGCTCAAACATTGCATGGATAAATGAAACAAAGGCTCCCTGAGAGGCGTTCAGGTGACTGCTTGTTTGGGGGACTCTTTTTGGTGAGATTCCCTGTCACAAGGGCTTTCACTAGACAGAAGCTCAGAAGGTAATCCCTAGCTGAGAAAGAGCCTGGCTCACCCTGGCAAGACCCCTGGCTCTGATGTCCTCCATTAGCCTCTTCTGTTCCCACAGGCCAACGAGTGCATGAGGATCAAGATCCTTGGTGACTGCTACTACTGTGTATCTGGTCTGCCTGTGTCCTTGCCCACCCATGCCCGGAACTGTGTGAAGATGGGTCTGGACATGTGTGAGGCCATTAAGTAGGTACCAGGGGCAGGCTTATCCCCATGATGGACCTGTCCTGCCTCTCAAGGCACAGGGAAGGGGAGCATGCATCACTCCCATTTCACAGATGAAGAAATTATGACAAAGTGGACTGCCTGAATTCTCTAGCTAGCAGAGGGGCCCAGACTCAGCTTACTCTTCCCTCTGTGTCCACCTGTGCCAGGGCTCTATGTTCCAGAAGAGTGTCTCACAGCTCAGAGCTGGGTAGTGTGAGGAAGGGACAGTTAAGCTCCATTTTTACCAAGGACTGAGTCTTAGTAACAGCAGGAGGGCTTCAGGGCATATAGCAAGCGAACCTTTTAAACTAGCAACCCAAGTCCAAGGTTCCATCTGCTTCCTGCTTTCTCTTCTGAAGATCCTAGACTCAGGCAGGAGACTGGCTTTTGCAGGTTCAGGGGAAGTCTAAACCTCCCAGGGCTCCTGCCCATTGATACCCAGTTGTTGGTCCAGCCCCATCTCCAGTTCTGCCTCCTGACATCTTCCCAGAAATGTTTGGTGCTTTTGGAAAGACCCTGGACAGGGGTCCCGATCCTAGCATGGCTCTGTGTGACCTCAGATGTCTGACTTTCTTCGTGTCTGCTTCCTCTCTCTAGACTGTGGAGGCTGTACTAAATCCCCTAGAACACCTTCAACCTTTGATCTTTGGAGACCCAGTGTATCACCAACCCTGTTGGTGGGCACATGGCACCAACTACACCTTGACCCTCACCCTCTAGTCAAAGAGACTCAGATGTTGCTTGTTTGTGGCGGGCACATTGGGCATCTGGTGAAACTCTAGCTTGGGGATCCTAGTGTGGAGTGGTGTCCCAGGGCCAGCAGCTCCTAGGGCTCCAATTTTCCAGAGATGGGATGTCAGCGACCCCCAAGGCTGGCTCATGCTTCTTGTCTTCCCAGGGGTTAGGGTGGTACCTTGCCCCTCTGTAGACTTAGGCAGGCTGCCAGACAGGGAAAATTCATGGATAGTATTAGAGACCCATCATAACGAGCTCTTGTGGTCCATGGCAAGTGGAGTTCATCCTTCTGGCTACCCAGCTTTCAGGTTCAAGGGATGACCAGATCCCTTGCACCCTCTTAGCAACCATGTTCTCAGTTCCTCCTGAGGAGATAGCCCTATCCATGTAAGAATATTCTCTCCTGTGAAGTGGGCCTGCTGTGTTCTGTACTCTTGCCCACCTACTTGCTCTGCCTCCACCCCATCCCACCTCCCCACCCAGAGTTTGGGTGTGAGGTGACCAGGCTGCTCTGTTCAGGCAGGTGCGGGAGGCCACAGGTGTGGACATCAGCATGCGTGTAGGCATCCACTCAGGGAATGTGCTGTGTGGGGTCATTGGGCTGCTCAAGTGGCAGTACGATGTGTGGTCACACGATGTGTCCCTGGCCAACAGGATGGAGGCGGCAGGAGTCCCTGGGTGAGGCAAAATCAGAGGTTGGGAGTAGGCTAAGGGGGGCTGGGGTGGCAGCGGGTGTGGACAAAGGGAATGGAGTCAGTGGCCTGTGGGGGTGAAGGGTATCAGGCCCCAGGGCTCTGCTTGATTCTGGTATCCCTTAGCCGGGTGCACATCACAGAGGCGACATTGAAGCATCTGGACAAGACGTACGAGGTGGAGGATGGGCACGGGCAACAGAGGGACCCCTACCTGAAGGAGATGAACATCCATACCTATCTGGTCATTGATCCTCGGGTATGTGGGTGAAGGGGATGGGGCTGACAGTGGACACCCTATGGCCTAGCTGTACTGGGCACCAGGGTCCCTACCCCGGGAGAAGATCCCTATGAAGGCTTCTCTCTAAGGCTAGAACTGGGGAGAGGACTGCGAGGGTAGGAGTGAGCTCCCCATCACTGGGTATGTGCTAGGCACCAAGTAACAACTTCTCTGGGCCTCTATGTTCTTCCCTACAAAACTCCCTGCCTCCCAGAGCAAGGAGTAAAAAGGCTAATCTGAGTAGAGTGCTCACTTATACTAGCGGCATCATAAGTACTCTATACAAAAGCACTAGTATTTTTTTCCCCATGAATTTGCCTCTAATCTTTTTTTTTTTTTTTTAATTTAAGACACATTTTCAAAGCATACTCTGAATAAGAACTAGGAAGGCAGGGACCTATGGGTACTTGGGACTCTTGATAGTCATGTCAGCTGCTTTCTCCCTTCCTATCTGTCCATGGGCCAGGTAGAATCAGCCCTGGTGGGTCATACATTTGCTCTGCCCATCCGCACAAAGCCACGCTTTATCATCTGGGGAGGCCAGTGTGTCTGGCAGCTGCATGGTGAATCCTCTGTGATGCACAATCAGGAATGTTGGGGGTGGCAGGCTTGTTCTAACTTCTCACTGCTTGTCCGAACCTCAGGGTTTGCCTGATGGTGATCTCAGGACAGCAAAGACCAGGGGGAGCCCCATCCCGTCTAAGTTCTCCAGTGGTGGTCTCTAAAAGAATAATCCATCTGATGCTGAGTTGTCTCCTGGAAAGTTGTCACTCCTCCTGGTACCCAGATTCTGTTGCTCTTAAAACCCAAATGCCTCATCCTATCCTCCCACCCTCTCTTCTCCTCTCCCAGTGCAGTGGCCCCAGTCCCAGCCCACCCTTCCTGACCCCCCAGCCCTACTCCCAGACTCCACCACTAGGCTTTTCCCCTCTGTCTAGAGCACTCTTTCTCTGTCCCAGCAGTCGTTTCTTCTTTTTACTTGCTTGTCAATGTGAGCTCCAAGCTATAGGTGCAAGGGTCTTTCCTCAGCAGTCTGCAACCAGCCCCCCACCCCATACCTAGAACAATGTGGGCAAGGAGCAGGTGCTCAGATCATTTGTGAATTAATGAACCCCCAACCTTCAACACAAAAAAAGGAGACAGAACCCTAAAACCCACTCCCTGCAGGGCTACAGGTTTAGCAAATGGAAATACAGAACACCCAGTTAAATCTGGATTTCAGATAAACAATGAATAATTTCTCAGTATATCAGTGCCTCGTGTAGTTTTTACCTTAGTGTCCTTTATTTTATTTGGAGATCCTGCTCCTTCCCTTGTTTGTAGCTATTCTTGGGCAGGTAACCCATTCAAATAGTTTAAAATAAAAAAAGGTATACAAGGTATGTAGTAAAGCAGTTCCCTCCCACCATGTCCCCTAGCCAGCATTGCTGCTGTTAGCTGCCATTGAGGGGGCCCCAACTCAAGACAACCCATGCACAATGGAATCAAATGCTGTCCAGTTCTGTAGCTTCCCCATGGTCAGTTGCAGACTGGATCATTGCGATCTTCTTTTTGGAAACAGATCATCACACCTTTCTTTCCATCTTATCTGGAAGTTCTGCTAAAACCTATTTGGCATCGTACATCACAAAAGCCTCCATCAACAGACTGTGCCAAAGGTTTAAGAGTATTCCCATCTCCAGTGGAGTATGGACATTTCCAGGAAAATTGTTGCTTATGGCTAAGCCGTGCTGTGGCTATAAGTGCTTATCCATGTGGGTGCTTGCAGAGTCCTAAAATATGGGATGTTAGCGGACAGAGGGGTACTCAATGACCTTGAGGTGGTCTAAGCTTGTCTCTGTCAGCCTCAGGACCCTTTCTTGTCCCTTCTGTGATTCCAGGCTTGCCAGCTACCTACCTAGTAAAGGCCCTGGTGTAAAGTTCTTGTGGGGTTTGGGCTGACATTTAGGAGGAGGTAAGCTCTGGTAGCGTAGTGGTTACGAATCGGGCTGCGAACCTTAAGGTCAGCGGTTCGAAACTACCAGCCGCTCCGCGGGAGAAAGATGAGGCTTTCTACTCCTGTAAAGATTTACACCCTCGGAAACCCTGTACAGGGTCGCTATGGGTCAGAACCGACTCGATGGCACATAACAACAACAACAACAAAGCTGGGCACACAGGTCTACCCTGGGTGTGTACCCATTTGGAACCTGTCTTAAAATCAGTGGTTCTGCTCAGGGCAGACAATCATGGACCAGCCAATAGTCCTAATGGGTCCATACTATGTATGGCTCCATGGCCTCACAAGTAAACTCCCTGGAAGGCTGACAGGGGTGGGGGTAGTGGCTGCTCCCCACAGGGAGGAGAGGACTGGGATGACTGACATGCTGGCCACACATATGGCTTTCCTAGATGTGGTTTCCTCAAGGTGCCTTTTGGGGGTGGGTCTGATGAGCATTCAACCCCCTCTAGTATAGTGTCTGCTTCTGAGAAGCCTTCAAGGGGCAAGTGGAACACAGAACTCCAAGGGAGCCATTCAGTCTGTGTTCACTCCCAGGGCAGGAACGGGCACTGAACAAAACTTCCAGTGCTTCCAGCGATGCACTGGGATTCAGTGTCCAGAAAGGGCCTGAGATGCCTTGTGCCTGTTTTGTCCTACTTTGCTGGATTGCTGTTTCAGTGTTGTGTTTGGGGAGAGCAGGATGGAGTGGTAGTCCCTTCCTGCAGGGGGAAGTGAGAAAGGCTGACTCTGCATCTGCCTACAGAGCCAGCAGCCACCCCCATCCAGTCATCACCTCCCCAAGCCCAAAGGGGATGCAACTCTGAAGATGCGGGCATCAGTACGAATGACCCGTTACCTGGAGTCCTGGGGTGCCGCTCGGCCTTTTGCACACCTCAATCACCGAGAGAGCATGATCAGCAGTGATACCCCTGTTATCAATGTCCGGAGGCCTCGGGTAAGCCCTGCCCTCTTCCCCCAATACCCCAAAGATCTGTGGAGCAGTCTTGCAGGGAGAAAGAACTTATAGTAATGCCACTATTTTGAGCTTCACATTTTCCCCGTCTCTGGGCTGCCTGTTTCCTGAGGCTGCTGGAAGAGTGAAGCATTTGGACAGTACTCCAGGTGGCCAGGAAATGTCCTTGCCTCCTCCTTGTCTAGACTGAGTCTAGATTGAGTGCAGGACACCTGCAGTTTGAACACGACTGATACTGTGCTGTGTTTCTGAAGTATGCCCAGGATGACACACTCAGCTGGACCACACAGACTTCAGGGCCAGCCATCTGGGGAATAATGTCTCATTCTTTCCTCCCCCAATCAATTCCAGGCCATTCCCCTGCGGCGCCACTGGACCCCAGACAGGTAACATGTACTGTTCCCTCCTGGCTAAATCCTGCCCCATCACCTTCTGATCAGCCAGGATGCAGCTCAAGGGCCAGTCCAGGACCTCTGTGAAGTTTGCTGCAGTCCATACTAAAGTGTTTCTAGGAACCAGAACTCCCTGACCTGTGGCTTTTCTTCACGGCCTTGAGCAATGATTGAGCACAGTGGGGTGGGGGTTAGTGGGAATGGTGTAATCTGGTCTCAATGCCTGCCCTCTGCTTCCTGCTGGGCTGCTGGTTAGTGGGTAGGGTTGGGCTTGCCTGCTTCTCTGAAGCTCAGTGGGCCTCCACCCCCATCCTTCAGCAGGCCTTTGTGAGGCTCTGTGGCTTCCATAGGACCCTGGAGTCCCACTTAAGTGAGCTCTCTCTCTCACACCTTTGCGCTGGACAGTAGACACTGGGTGCCGGGGTCATGCAGAGATGGGGGTGTCTGGTTTCAGAAGTTCATCTCCCAAGGGGCAGTCAGAGGAAGACTCATATGACGATGAGATGCTATCAGCCATCGAGGGACTCAGCTCTACACAGTGAGGCTCCCATATCCTCCTAAATGGAGTCCATTGTCTTTAAGTGTGGCCCCAGGTAGCTCCTCCCCTTCCCTCACCCCTGGTGCTGCTGACCACAGGTCCTACTGCTCTAAGTCAGATGACTTCCACACCTGTACCTGTGTGCCCATCTTCCTGGAGAAGAGCTTTGAGCGAGAGGTGAGGACCGCGGGGCCGTCCCCACCCCAGAGAAACAGGGATCCAATAATTGGTGTGGGTTTGGGGTGCTGGCTCTGGGACACCCAATATCCCTAAATGCTCTTTAAAGGAAGGGGATTCTCTACAACTATGGGGGTAATCTGGTCCACCTCTGACTTAAGATTCTTTTCCTGTTGCCTCCTTCCTCTCCTAAATATCCCTCCTTCCCATTTGGTAAGTCATCATGAAGGACCTGAAGGCTTTTGCAGCTATCAAATGCCAATACTTCAGCTGGCCAGGGCCATGAACAGCATAGGCTGATAGCACTGGCCCTATAATTTTAAAAAGAAAACCACTCAAAACGTTGTATTCGAGTTGGACAACATGGCTTTTGTATCAACAGTGACACGTCAACCTTACTGAACTGGGTCTGGCAACACCCTAGGCACATGTTATATAATCTAACCCTCAGACCAGTTGGGTAAGGTGGGTGTTGGTACCTCATTTCATAGACATAGACAGGAAGCTAATTATGGAACCTAGAAGTATAAATGTGCAATCTAGAGCAGAACACATCTTTACTTCAGGTAAACCAATGCCCCAGGCAAATGGCAAATTGATGTCTCCAGTTCAGGAAGGCAAGGCTTTGCTCTCTCTGGAACTTCCTAAGTTGGTGGGGGGGGGGGGGGGGCTCCCTATGTGAGGAGCTTGGGTCTGGAGGCAGGTGTGTTGCTGTGTGCTGAGTTGATTGAGACTTTAGTGCCCCTTCAGAACATAGTAAAACAGTCCCATAGGGTTTCCAATCTTTACAGAACAGACTGCCACATCTTTCTCTTGGTGGGTTCAAACCATGACATTTTGGTTGGCAGTTTAGTGCTTAACTGAGGCATATGTGGCCACCATAAAATCTGGAGGCCCATCTGCTGTGTGATCCTTGGTAGGCTGTGACCTCTTTAAGCTTTGCTTCCCCACCTGTGGCAGGGCCCTCCTGAACTGTCCTAAGAGATAATAAATTGTGTGGAAGAGGAGCTCGGGTTCCGTGAAGCACAGGGTCTCAAGCCCAAATTACTTCTTGGTTTGAAAAAGTACACCCATCCACTCCAGACTCAGCCTTAAATGCTGATTTTTCTCCTGTCCATCCCTCACTATTTGAGACTGCTGAGGGACCTGAGTATAAAGTTGAAGATTTGAGCAGGGCAGCAGAGGGTAGCTATAGCTTCTAAATAAAATAAGGGGACAAAAAATAGAAAGGAATGAGTTATTAATGTGACAGCATCACTTAAAACTCCAGGAGAGATGTGAAATTATTTTTAAGGGTGTGTGTGTGTGACAGAGGTGGGCCTGCAAAGGGGTCAAAGCAAGTGACCCTACAGGTGTGTGTCCTTCATCCTCTCTGTTGACCTCAGTATCGCCTGGCACCCATTCCCCGGGCCCGCCACTACTTCGTCTGTACCAGCCTGGTCTTCCTCTGCATCCTGTTCATCAACGCCCTGCTGATGCCCAGGTCAGTTGGGTGGGGCTGCACAGTCCAGGCTAGTGGGGAGGTGACCTTGGCAGAACCCACTAGAAAACCCTTAGGGAGTGACATAATCAGATCAGAATGGTTGCGGTTATGATTTATTATCTGTAACCCCCTGGAATCCTTTAAAGTATGAGCCAAGGGTGATAGCTACAGCATCTGGAATTGCCAACATGTTATTTGTTTTTGTAATGCATTGTGCTTGCTCTACTTAGGTCACAGGCCTCATCACTTCCTAATACTTTTCTGAAGTCACCTGTGTTCTGCTTTGGCCCCTACAAGCATTTTAGTTTTTGACTCCTGCATTAGGTTCTTGAGTGTCCTAAAAATGGAAAAGTTGAGGCTCAGAGGGGTTAATAAACTTATCCAGGTTGATGCCACTGAAAACCACTTTTGCTCAAGGGCCATTTGGTGGGGGCCAGGGTTGAGGGTGAGATCAGAGGACAGGGGAGGAAGGCAAGCTTCTTGGGGGTTTCTGGATGGATGGTTGGTCAGAGGGATGGACCAGGATATGGTTTGTTGTTGTTGCTGTGTCGTTCTGATTCATAGCAACCCTGTATAGTTTCCAAAGAGCTGCTAGTGAATTTGAACCGCTGACCTCATAGTTCAAATCGACCTTGTGGTCCAGTGCATTATCCCACAGCGTCACACCAGTACTCCAGTTTTGTTGTTCTTAAGTGCCGTCAAGTCGATTCCCACCCATAGCGACCCTGTGTAGGGTTTCCGAGGAGCAGCTGGTTTAGAATGTGCTTAAAAAGCACAAACTAGGGGAAATTTTTTGATAGGGCACTTACCAAGTGCTAGACAGTACTCATTTCTTACATATGCTTAGCTCAAAAGAGGGGGATCTGTGTATTTTGGCCAGGCATCACATGTTACTAATAGGGTAGTTGGACCCATTTCAAGAGGTCTCCTTTTCTGAGTGTAGAATGGTTGTTGTTGTTGTTAAGTGCCTTCGAGTCAGTTCCGACCCATAGCGACCCTGTACAGGGTTTCCGAGGGTGTAAATCCTTACGGGAGTAGAAAGCTTCATCCTTCTCCCGCGGAGCGGCTGGTAGTTGAAAGATACAGAAGGTGCTCCTGAGCTGGAGAGGTGAGGTGGTGTGAGGGACAAGCAGCCTTCTTGTAGATCAATCTCAGGCAGCAGACCCCCAGGATTTGCTATTTTCTTCCTTTCCAGGATGGTGGCTCTGGATGTGTCCTTTGGGCTGGTGGCCTGCATGCTGGGACTGGTGCTGGGCCTGTGCTTTGCTGATGAGTTCCTGGTGAGTAGAAGCCCCAGGAAAGAAAGTTGATGGGCTCAGGGTTCCTGTCTCACCAGATGGGCAGGGCAGTGGTGCGAGACCCCTGCCCCCATGATCCCCTCCCTCCCTGTGCTTTGGCAAAGGGGCTGGGTGCCTTATTCTAGCCCTTCTGGTCTTGAGGACAATTTACTGAGTATTCTGAAACTTCTCCTTAATGTTCATTCCCATCTTCCTAATGGTGAGGATGTCTCTTCTGTCGGCATTATTTATTGAACATTCGCTCTGTGCCAGGCACAATGTGTACACCCACTAACCCTCCATCACGTGAACAGGAGACATCAGTCTGCCATCAGGAGCTATTCCGGGCTTCTGGGCCAAGGCCCACCATGGCCTCATCCTGCAGTCCCACCAGGCTCTATCCTGGTTTGTATGCCTGCCCTGGGTGACTCTGCCCTATTCCTTCCTCCACAGAGGTGCTGCCCATCCCAGGGAATGCTCCGGCTTGTGTCTGAGATGGTGGAGACACAACCCCTGCTGAGGGTGTCCCTGGCCATCCTGACCATTGGCAGTCTGCTCATCGTCACTATCATGGTGGGTTTCCTATGCCTGTGACAGCACACTTCCTGGGTGGAGGAACCTCTAGGTTCTAGAATCCTAAATCTTGTTGCCTTTATAAACTGTAACTCTCTCTAGAGCTTGGTAAGTGGGTGATAATGTTTCTTCTTTCAGGGCTAGGTACCCTCACCCTTCATTTTTCAAATGGAGTCATAGGATCCCAGAGCCTCTATGGCCAACCCCACAAGACTTGCACTTGATCTTCCAGTCCTCCCTGGCTCCTGGGGAGTCAGGTGCTTCCTGTTTTACCCTGAAACTTAGGCTTAGTATCGGTTGTCCTTAGGTTCCAAACTGGGGTTGAGGTAGGGACAGCTTAGCTTCTTGCAGCTTCATCTCACTACTGCAGGAAGTGGTCTGTATGCTGCATTCATCTTCCTTCTGGCTTCTAAAGTTAAGCTCTCTCTCTCAACCCATCTCCTAGACACTCTAGAACACCAATTTTTAGAATGTGACTCCTTCCTTCAAAGTCACCTGGGGAGAAGAGGGCATCAAATGTGCTGTCCCCCTAGCTGCGTTTTGTATTGCAGCATCAACCTATGAATCTGTTCTGCCTAGTGCTTGGAGCTGAGCCCAACAGCACTGTGGTGCTCCCTATGGTCCAGTGTGTGCCCTACCTGACTTTCCCTCTCTGTCCAGCTTGGCCCTGGGAAGTCCCAAGTCACAGTCCCCAAGACTGACCCTGACTGGGCCTTTTCTTCTCTGTAGCCACTGCTGCCTCTACCAGCAACAGGGTCATCTGGCAGAAATGAGACAAGCCTGAGGAGCCAAACGTGTGAGCTCCTCCTGGTGGTGAGTCACTGGTCCTGGGTTCCAAGCACTGATGCCAGCCCTCACTGGCTCAATTAAACTTTAGGCAGGCCACTGGAGCTGAGCCCTTGAGACCGTATGGCAAAGATAGGCCAAACCCAGCCTCTCCTGAGGTACCAAAAGCAAGACTCAACCAGGCAGGGCTGCGATTATCACTAGGCCTAGAGAACACAGAGGAATCCTGTTTGGCACTTTGGGCTTGACAGAGTAAGTCAGGTATTGCCATTACCTCCATTGTATAGGGAGGAAAGCAGGGCTCTAAGATGACCTGACTTGCCTACATGGATTGTGAAGCCCCAATGTGGATGCAGGCAGTCTGACCTTACTGTTTCAGGCTTCCCTTTGCCTGGAATGTCATTAATGGTAAACAGAATGAAGGCTGTGGGGACTTGGGGGTGGGGTAGCGTGGCTTCATCAGGAGGACAGAGAGGGACCAGTTTGAGAAAAACCCAAGGAGGGTAGTGGGATCAGCAGGATTTTCAGATAGTTTGTGCAATGGGAGGGAGCAGGAGATGGTGTGGCAGAGCATAAGGATATGCAGCCAGGAAAGCAGGTTTGATCCACATTATAGAGCATACATGCCAGGGTGAAAAGTTTGGTCTTTATTCTGAGAGCAGTAGGGAGTCACAGACAGATCTTGAGCAGAGGAGTAACATTGGCAGAAATGTACTTTGGGAAGCGCAAGTTCACCTGAAGTGGTAGGTCACTGTTGTGCATAATACCACTTGACTTCTGGTCATAAAGCATTCACCACCTTCATTTTTATTACTTTTAAATACGGTAATAGATTTCTTTTTCCTTTAAATAAGCTGACTTGCCATGAAAAGAATACAGTGAAAACAAAACAATATAAACTTTTAGATTTCATTGTCTGCTCTGTTAACAAGGGAAATCAGCAAGAAAGAAAAAATTCTGTGGGCCAGTTAATGCTAAACATACCTCTCCTTGTGGTCACTGCTGGCCCAAGAGGCATGGTTCTTGGTAGGATGACCTTGGCCTCCTGAGTAACATCTCTCTTCCACCCACAGTATTACATATACAGCTGCATCCTAGGCTTTGTTGCTTGCTCTGTCTTCCTGCGGATGAGCCTGGAGCTGAAGTTCATGCTACTGTCCGTGGCCTTGGTGGCCTACCTGGTGTTCTTCAACATCTTTCCGTGCTGGCAATGGTACTATTGTGGCAACCTCACTGAGACCAACAACACCCACAGGTGGCTCCCCAAATCTATTCATGGTTGAGATCTCAATTATCCTGCACACCCCCACTAGCTCCAAGGAATATGCCACCCCTTTGATGGTTTGACGCCATTTGCACTGGACCTTGCTGGGTGGGGCTGGGAGGTGGCAGGGTTTCCATTTTACAGAAAGGAAGTGGAGGCCCAGGGACAGTGACTTGCCCAATTTCCTGCAGAGCTGGGAAGTATAAGTGGTTTGCAGTCTGGGAAGTCTTGGGTCCCCCCCATTTCCAGGTCAGTCTAAGGGTGACGGGGAAGACCTCAGCTCTAGCACAGCCCCTCTGTGGGCCATGCCCAGGCTCTCTCTCTAGTCTTGCTGCTCTGATTCCTTCCTGGATAAGAAGGTGACACCGGTGGTATGAGGAGGAGAGTCTGGAAGCATGGGGACCAAGAACAAAGTCTGCTCTTGTGGGTCTGACCTGCAAGTTTCTGGAGATTACGGACAGCCCTCAACCTTCTACCAATGTGCAAGTCTGGCCGCCTGCCTGGGCTCTCCATGTGCTCTGGGCTGCCTTCTTGCCTAACTGGTGGGCTTTTCCTGCAGATCTGATTCCATGTCATTTAAGTATGACTTCAGTGAATTCTCCCTCAGCTGCAGTCGGTCTCTCCTCTGTACCCCTCCTAACAATTTGAACTAGTCATTTCCTGTCTATCCAATAGAATGTGACTCTTACGAAGTCAGATATCTGGTCTGTTCACACTCACTTCCACGTACAGCACAGAACATTTATCAGGCCATGTACAATCCTGCATGTGGGGACAGAATGCACCTACTTTGAGGATTCTCACTGGAAATGGAAACAATCCTGCCTTTTCCCTTCATATCCCATAGGTCATCATGTCCGTGGAAGGATTTGAAGATAACAATTAATTTCTACCTGATTCTGTTTTACATCACCCTCATCATGCTCTCCATACAGGTAGACTAGAAAATGCCCCAGTGAGTCCATAGCTCAAGTTGGCCCTCTTTTCTCAGCTCCATTTGGAGAGGAGATGGGGACAGGGATTGCCTTAGATTTAGGCAGCAAAGGAGACAGCAGACAAGCCTGGGTTATTCCAAAGTCAGTATTCTAATCTCCCTGTGTCATCTTCCAAGATGACACAAGTGATAAGACTTAATTCTCATGGGTTAGTTGTGGCTGACTGGAGTGCTAGGAAGTGTAAAGCCATTGGGAGAGCCCTATTCAGTTAGGTTTGCAACTAATATGGGTGGGAAGTACTCCCAGAGGTTACCACTATGCCCTGCCAGGATGGATGTTTGTCCTTACTGGCTTAGACAGGATGCTGTCTCCTGCTGTGTACAGATTGACTATTACTGCCGTTTGGATTATTTGTGGAAGAAAAAATTCAAGAAGGAATGTGAGGAGTTTGAAACCATGGAAAATGTGAACCGCCTTCTTTTGGAAAACGTCCTACCAGCCCACGTGGCTGCCCATTTCATTGGTGATAAGTTAAATGAGGTGCGGTGGAACAGGGGCTTGGGTAGGAAGTGAACAGAAGGTACAGGTACAGTCCTGTCAAGTGAATATTTACTGAAGAAAGTGCTTTCAAGTTTGGATTTCTTGGTCTTGTTCAATTGTGGCAAAGCTCTAAGAATATAAGTTTTGGAGTTAGAGACCTCAGTTCAAGTGTGATCATGGACAAGACACTTTAGTTCTCTGGGTCTTAACTTTCCTATCTGTAACATAGGGCTAACAGGATTCTTTTGAGGATCAAACACGTGCAGGTATCTGTAAATGGGCATTCTGCATTGATGACAGTAGCTACATTTCTACCAGTTTTTTGTAAAAAAGAGGTGGAGATAATAGGAAGTAAACAGGTCCAGGGACTTCTATAGTGTCCCAGAAGGTGTAGCTACCTCAGCTATACACAGAATCACTGGGGGTGGCCAAAAAAATGCACAAAGATCTGACCTGATCCCAACCCATGATTCAGAATCTATATTGATTCCCACAGAGTCAGCTAAGAATCTCCACTGAAAGCTTAGGTTAGCAGATAGCTCCTAAAGCTACTTCAGCCTGCTTTTTCCTCTCACCAATCTAGGATTGGTATCACCAGTCGTATGACTGTGTCTGTGTCATGTTTGCATCTGTGCCGGATTTCAAAGTGTTCTACACAGAGTGCGACATCAACAAAGAAGGGCTGGAGTGCCTGCGCCTGTTAAATGAAATCATCGTGGACTTTGACGAGGTACATAATCTCTTGACCCAACCTGGGCAACATGGGGCAGTCGAAACTCAGTACTACAAAACGTGACACAGCATCCTTGGGGGAAAGCATACCTTCTGTATATGATAATATGATACACACTTGCCTTTTCCATTGTTTTGCTGAATATTTGGTCAATGCCTTCTTTGTATCAGCCCTCTTGTGAGACTAGATTTGGGTTTGAGGTCTTCACAGAATAGCTTGAGTTCCAACTCAGCACATGCTCTTGGTTTCCTTCATCAGTAATCTGTTTGGGCTTAACACATTGCTGGAACAACTGATGCACATGATCTGTACACCACTGACCTTGGACTATAACAGTGATATGGATTGTGCTGCACTGTGTTTGTTCCTTAAACAGGATTATTGTTGTTAGATACTGTCAAGTTGGTTACTACTCAAAGTGATTCAATGCACAACAGAACGAAAGTTTATTGTTATACTATAGAGCCCATTGTGTTGCCACATTTCGCTAACCCTCCACTTTGTTGTTAAGTGCCATCAAGTTGGTTCCGACACATAGCAACCCTGTATAGGGTTTCTGAGGAGTGCAGGTGGATTTCAACTGTTGATCTTGCAGTTCAAAATAGCCTTTTGATGCAGCAGGACTCATAATACCTTCCTCCAGGGACTGGTCCCTCCTGATAACATGTCTGAAGTATGAGATTAAGTTGTGCCGTCCTAGCTTCTGAAGGAGCATTCTGGCTTTACTTTTTCAACACAGATTTGTTATTCATACAGTCCATGATACATTCAGTATTTTTCTGCAATGTCCTAACTCAAATGCATCAATTCTTCTACAGTCTTCCTTAATCAGCTTTCACATGCATAAGAGGCAATCAAAAATATTATGGTTCAAACTGATCTTTGCTCTTTAACCCTTTAAATAGATCTTTTGCAGATTTCTCTAATGTAATACTTAAGTTTGATGTTTTGACTGCTGCTTCCACATCCATTAATTGTGGATTTAAGCAAAATGAAGTGTTTGACAACTTCGGTCTTCTCTATGCTGTTTGAATAAGTATGGTGAAAGGATACAACCCTGGCACACATCTTCCCTGAAGTTTAACCATTCAGTAGCCTTTTGTTCTGTTCAAACTATTGCCTCCTGGTCTATATATAGGTCCCTCATGAGCAAAATTAAGTATTCTGGAATACCTATGTTCGCAATGCTATCTATAGTTATGATTGGCAAAGTCAAATGCCTTGAATAGTCAGCATCTGTTTTTCTGTGCTTTTCAGCCAAGATCCATCTAAGTTCAGCAATTATATCCCTACTTCCACATCCTCTTCTGAATCTGGCTTAAATTTCTGTCAGTTGCCTGTTGATGTGGTGCTGCAATCATTTTTAAATTATCTTCACTAAAATTTTACTTGCATTTGTTATTAGTAATACTGTTTGATTTCTTCATTCTTTTAGGTCAACTTTCTTTAGAATAGGCACAAATACGGGTTTTTTCCCAATCGGTTGGCCAAGTAACTGCCTTTCATATTGACATAGATGAGTGAGCGCCTCCAGTGCTTGCATCAACTTGTTGAAACATTTCAATTCCTGGAGCCATGTTTTCTCACCAAGGCTTGGATTTCTTCCTTTAATACCACTGGTTCTTAGTTTTATGAAATAATTGTCAATTAATTCTTCATCATTCAATGGTTTGCCCAGTTTTTAGGTGCCATCCAGCATATTTCAACTCATAAGAATCCTATGTATAACAGAATGAAAAACTGCTTGGTCCACTGCCATCCTCACAATTGTTATTAATCGTTATCCACTGCTGCTATTGTGCCAGTCAATCTCACTGGATGTCTTCCTTTTTTTTGCTAACCCCCATGATGCCCTTCTCCAAAGACTGGTCTCTACTGGTAATACATCCAAAGTGAGTGAGACTTATGTCTGACCATGTTGGCTTCTAATGAGCATTCTGGCAGTACTTTTAAAAAAAAATACTTTTTATTGTAAATTGAGTCAAACTCTACAGGGCAGATCATCAGTTTTACACTCAACAAATTATCCACCCCGTTTCATTACAATGATTACAATCTCCTCCATGTACTATCAGTCAATAGTATTTCTATTCATTTTATTTTTTTAAACACTCAGGCATATATAATAAACCAACAAAGAGCACATTTGCCTGCCTCCTGGCCACCAGCTCTCAGTCCCTCTCTCTCCATTAATCTAGAGTCAGCTGTTCTCTCTCTCCATGTCCTCATCTCTGGTGTCACTGCTTCTCTGGATAAGGTCCCGCATTCCGCTTTTGCTCTTCTCCCTTGATGAGCCTAGGGTCCTGTGTTTCTGGACTTCAAGACTAGTTACTCCCCCATTTGTTACAAAACTTCTACCTTTACAATTGTGACAGTCACAATTGGTCATGATAACAGTTACTCATTATTGAATCATAAGGATCTTATCCCCATCTCTTTTTACCAGGTCCATCTAGACAAGATGAAAACTATTCCATGGGAACTCTATTTCCCGCCTACAACACTCTTAAACTCGCTGTTGAAACCTTGTAAGCCAGTCACTTCGTACATTTATCGCCCCTCATTTTAGGTAGCCAATGTCTAAGTTGCCTGACCCTATCTACCCTGCATATAGAGGGGACAGCATTGATACTTGATGTGAAGACTCCATCCCTGTCTGTTGGTATTTTGAGCTATTACCTCCATAATAAGTATAGGTCAAATTGTAGCAATTTATCCTTGTTTCCTGTATCAGAAGTAGAGTTGTTTTCTATCTTCCTCTAGTTGAGTTCTGATTATCAAGCCATTGAGGCTAGGTCAAATGGGTACTATCTGCAAGTTTGGATGTTCCTGTGATCTCCCTCACTTCATATCAGCTGGATGCTTCACTCTCAGCTATAGCACTCTGTGGCTGTGTCCTTGTACATGGGCTCAGGTGTCCCCAAGTCTCACCACACTTTGGACCAACCAGCCTTTCCTCTTCTCTCTCTCTCATCTCCAGGTCAATGGGAGTCTATGGAATGTGGTTGAACTTAGCCCATTTCTTCATTGCTACCTTTCCCCATCTTCTGCTTACCAGTAGACCAATGTGGTCACCAGCAAACTTACATGCCTGCTCATTTGTTCCCTTTGAGTTTCAGTCTTAGAGGCGAGTTTGTCCTGAAGGGACTTGATTGCTTACTTTGATGGCTTCCTGACGAACAAATTGCTTATTTTTGTAGTATCTGGCAGTATTTCTTTCATGGCAGATTTTTTAGTATGATAATTGTTAATATTCTTCTCCAACACTGTAACTCAAATGCCTTAAATCTTCGATGGTTTTCTGTGTTCATTGTCCAACATATGAGGCTACTGAAAATACCATGACTTGGGTATTAGTCCTCAAATTGACATCTTTGCTCTTGAACACTTTAAAGAAGTCTTGTGCTGCAGATTTGCCTAATGCAAGAGTTAATTTGATTTCCTGACTGATGCTTCCTGAGTATTGATGGTGGATCCAAGCAAAACGAAGTCTTTGACAACTTCAATCTTTTCTTCATTTATCATAGTGTTTACTGGTCCAGTAGTAAGGATTTTTGTTTTCTTTACATTGAGGTGCAACCCATACTGAAGGCTGTGGTCTCTGACCTTCATCACTACTTATTTTAAGTCCTCTTTTCTTTCTGCACTTCAAGGTTGTATTATCTACATATCACAGATTGCTAAGTCTTCCTCCAATTCTGATGCCAAATTCTTCATATAATTCAGTTTCGCAGGTTATCTGCTCAGCATACAGACTGAATAAATATGGTGTGAAGAATACAACTGTGGTGCAATCCTTTCCGTATTTTAAACCATACAGAGTCTTCTTGTTCTATGTACAGTTTGCTCATGAACACAGTGTTCTGGAATACCCATTCTCCGAAATATTATCCATAGCTTGTCATGACAGTTGAAAGCCTTTGTATGGTCAATAAACATCTCTGTAGTAAGCCAAAATCTATCTAATGTCAGCAATGATATCCCTCGCTCTACATCGGCTAAATCTTACTTGAACCTCTGGCAGTTCTATCAATATACTATTGCAGACGTTTTTGAATTTTTAGCAAAATTTTACTTTCATTAGATTGATATTGTCTGATTTCCGCATTCCATTGGTTCACCTCTTTGGAATGGAACAAGTATGGATGGATCTCTTCCAATCAGTTGGCCAGGTAGCTGTCTCCCAAATTTCTTGGCACAGATTAGAGTGCTGCCAGTACTGAATCAGATTGCTGAAAGATCTCAATTTATATTCTATCAATTCCCTAAGCCTTCTTCTTTGCCAATTGCCTTCAGTGTACCTTGGACTTCTTTCTTCTGTATCATTGCTCTTGATCTTTGCTACCTCTTGAAATGGATGAACATCGATGGTTTCTTTTTGGTACAGTGACAATGTGTTCCTTCCATCTTCTGATGTTCTCTGCACCACTCAATATTTTTGCACATGTTGTTAAGTGTTGTTGAGTCGGTTCTGGCCCACAGCGATCCTGTATAGGGTTTCCTAGGAACAGCTGGTGAGCTTGAACCACCGACCTTACAGTTCAGATCAATTTTCCATCAGTTTTATCAGTATGAGAAATGCTAAGCTTTTCCTTTCCTTTTGGTTTTCTAACTCCAGGTATTGGTACATTTCATCATTATTACTTGTCTTCTCAGGCTGCTCTTTGAAATTTTCTGTTCAGCTCTTTTACTTCCTCATCTCTCCCATTTGCTTTAGGATGTCTTCGCTGGATACCAAGTTTCAGAATCTATTGATAATCATTTTTGTCTGTTGCTTCTTTCTTGTCTTCTTAATAATCTTTTGCTGTCTTCCTGTACAATGTTCTCAATGTATTCTAGTCGTTTGGTCTTCAGTCATTAGTGTCTAAGCATCAAATCTCTTCTTGTGATGGTCTCTAAATTCATGTGAGTTATGTTCATATTTTGGCTCTTGTGGATTTAATTTTCTTAACTTCAGTCTGAACTTGCATATGAGCAACTGATGGTCTGTTCCAGTCTGCCCCTAGCCTAGTTTTGATAATATTGTGCTTTTCCACTGACTCTTCCTACAGATGTAGCCAATTTGATTTCTGTGTATTCCATCTGGTGAGGACCATGTGTACAGTCGTTTATATTGTTTAAAAATACTATTTGCAATGCACATGATAAAACTGAATTCCACCAACTTTTTCTGACAGAAATTGTTCAAACTTGCAATCAAGATGTATTGATAATTACTGGTGATTAGAATGCAAAGGTTGGAAACAAAGAAGAAGGATCAGTAGTTGGAAAATATGGCCTTGGTGACAGAAATGATGATGGAGATCGCATGACAAGAGTTTTACAAGACCAATGATTTATTCATTGCAAACATTCTTCTCCATAAAATCCGTTAATACTGAACCTAAGGCTTGACTTTTTCTTCAGTTCTTCCAGCTTCCGAAGTGCTGAAAATGGTCTTCCAACTTGGTTTTCTAACTCCATTAATTTGCATATTTCCTTACCCTACTGGACCTTGTCTTCTCAAGCTGCCCTTTGAAATTGTCTATTCAGCTTTTACTTCATTTCTTCTAGTCACTTTAGCTTCTCTATGCTCAAAGAGTATAGAGCAGCTAGAAATGAAGAAGCTAGAAATGAGGAAGAAATCTAAATGTGAGAGAAGACAGAAATAGCAGAAGCAAGGGAGAATGGTTATGAGCTCAGATGGAAAGGGCCTATTATGAGAAACTGTCTGTGTGAGAAGTGGTGGTAGGAAATATTGGAAAATTGAGGCAAGAGTTGCTGTTGCAATATCTGGGGCACACCTGGGCTGCAGCTTTGGAGTCGTGGGCCCTGTTTCACTATGCTTCCCTCTATCCCGCAGCTGCTGTTAAAGCCCAAGTTCAGTGGTGTAGAGAAGATCAAAACCATCGGCAGCACATACATGGCAGCTGCAGGGCTCAGTATCACCTCAAGACATGAGAACCAGGTACACAACTTTGTCTGGTGGCAGCAGTGTCTTAATGTCTATTTACCTCCCATCTTGTGCAGCTGATAGAGGTACTTTGATGGCTTAGCTGGGAGCTTGGGTGGTGGTGGCAGACAGGAGACTCTAAGAGCTGTCACAGGTGCTCTCATGGGGACACAAGCCTAGGGATAGTCCTGGCCCTTTGTGACATCTTTCACATATTGGTACACTACGGCTCCAGGGACAAGGTGTTCTGGGCTGCAATCTAACACACACCCAGCCCAGATTGGGCATTGGGTGACTTTCTATAGCCCCAAGTGTACCGGCTCTTGTCTTACAGGAAGTAGAACGGCAGCACGCTCACATTGGTATCATGGTGGAATTCAGCATCGCCCTGATGAGCAAGTTGGATGGCATTAACAGGCACTCCTTCAACTCCTTCCGCCTCCGAGTTGGTGAGGACCCAGGCAGGCTCCCGGGATCTGGGATCTGAAGATGGGTGTGGGGAGACTGTGAAACCCTATAACCCTTGCTTACAAGCAAGCCCAGGCTCACGTCTCTGTAGAAGCTGTACTTTGCCATCTATTAGGAAGTTTTTAGAAGCTTCTTATGGGACCTTACAATCTTAATAGTTGGATAATTATTCTGATTTTCGTTATATACTATTTAGAAAGCTCTTTGCAATTTTTAACCAATACATCACTGTTGAAAATAAATAACCAAAGTTTCTTGCTGTAAAAAAGTGAAGTAAAGCTTTAAAATCTAACTAGTTACTGTTAGGATGGCGCAGGACCAAGCAGTATTTTGTTCTGTTGCACATAGGGCAACTATGAGTCACAACTGACTTGACAGCATTAACAACACTCTAAAAGACTGGTGGTCAAAGCCTGTTTATTCTTTTAAGAGAAAGATTAATAGATACTAGAAAAGTGTTAACATCAAACCCAGACTTCTCGAATGTTTAGAAAGTGTGAGAAAGAACTGTCCACAGACTTTCCCCTTCCCAGGTAAAACCTTGGGCCACACACTTTCAGAAGCATTGTTCCAACCAAGTCTTCATTCCATTTCTAGTAGTTAGTACTTTCTGTGGTGAAGGGATGGATTCTGGAGTCTCAGTAAGGACAAAAGCCTGAGGCTCTGCCTTCTGTGACTGGCTAACAGCAAAGTTTCTCCTCAGGCATAAATCATGGGCCTGTAATTGCTGGAGTGATTGGGGCTCGGAAACCTCAGTATGACATCTGGGGAAACACGGTTAATGTTGCCAGCAGAATGGAGAGCACTGGAGAACTTGGGAAAATTCAGGTAACCAAGTGGGAAAGAGAACTTCCCGAGATAAAGGGACCTGGGCTTAAGACCTGGCTATTTCAACAGTCAGTTCTGATTCTAGCTGCACTATTCCTGAGTGAAAGCAGACATGGATGGGTGCTGCTCATTGGCCAATTCCTATCAATCCTTATTACCACATAGACTTCTTTCTGGCCTCTTTCCTTTTTAGGTTACTGAAGAGACATGCACCATCCTGCAAGGACTTGGTTATTCCTGTGAGTGCCGCGGACTGATTAAAGTCAAAGGCAAGGGTGAACTGAGGACTTACTTCGTCTGTACAGACACTGCCAAGTTTCAAGGGCTAGGGCTGAACTGAATGCTTTCAGTTGGCTTAGCACATGCAAGGAAATAATTCCCTCCCCTAAAACAAGCTAAGAAGAACCAGCACCATGTCAGTTTTACATGATGTTACCATAACCAAACTCCTGACAAGCAGTGCCTGGCTTCCTTTGAATCACACTGGAGGATCCTCTTGGACATGTGCACCAGATCCCAGTTCAAAAGCACCCGCAGCCAGACTGCCATGCTGTTGTGGTACCTGTACTGCAGTCTCCGAGATAGCATGAACAGGCTCACTGCTCCTGCAGTCATACTGTTTTACCTTCTTACCGCCCTTGATATTGTGGGGGCAACCTCAGAGCACAGCCAGAACAGAGGGCCCACCCTTGTTAGTGGCCTGTGAATACACACAAGTGATAACTGGTTTTTATGGGTACAAAGGAACACCAAGACACATTGTCTGGAATAGGCTGGGGACGCCTTTCTCCCTGGCTGGACAAACTACTGGAGTCTATATTTCTCACAGAAGCATTCTAAATAAGTGAAATTCAGGTGTTTTTAACCTGTGAATGATTTCAAGTAATAAGGAGAAAAAAACCAGAATTGACATTTGTTTTTCTTGCCATTTCTGGCATGTTACAGTGTATATATTATTAAAGAGAGCTTTATTCTTTTTAATTACTTCTTAGATGCTAGAAAAATCTCTTCCTTCCAGTGCCTTTGCCTTTTTTACCAGTGACACATAAAAAGAACTGTCCAGTGTCAGTTACGAGATTAGCCCAGCTGTGGGGATAGAGCTCCAAGGAATGTGGCTCATATCAAGAAGGCAAAGAGCCTTGGATGTGAATCATAGAACACTGATGCAAGAATTTGAGGCAAATTTTCAAGAAATTGAAAATTTCTTTTAAACTTTCACTGACTACACAGGCATTTTTGAGCTCACCCCTGAAATCTTCAGCTATAAAAGGGTGCTTCAAAATTTCACGGAAAAATAGAATGAAAAGATAATGGGACTTTTCCATGTGCTTTTCCCCTCATATATTAGCATTTGTGCTAGAAAGAAATGGAGTTTATAGAGATAACATGGACAACCTGTGTTTTCTTAATCCTTACTTTTAAGAACTTTAAAAAGATCTACTTTGTGTGTACAGAGGTTCCTGTATCTGAGAAGACATTCACATAAATACTTAGAACATTCTTATTCTGAACAAGTGCTAAAGGTCAAATTGGAGAGGGGATACACATCTTCTAAAGCAGTCAAAGGAGGGGGCTGTGCTCCCTCTCCACAAATAACAAAAGAAGGTGAGAAGTAACTAAGTCGTCCACTCTTCCTGAACTGATTCACTGCCTCATAACCAAAGCATAAGGACAGACACAGAGAAAGCACCCTCAGAATTCCTAATACAATTGCATATCGCCATCTAGAAATTCTTGACTAGATGTCATCCGAAGCTCTCTGAAATGATACAGAAAATCTTGTTAACAGGAAAATTCAAATAATTATACAGGGTTGGAGACAGGTGACAAGCAATCCAGGTCTGCCTGGGACTAGGGGATACCTGGGGTGACTTGTCACTGAAATTGAACACACTGCCTGCTTGGCTTGTGTCTTGGTGTAATTTGAATCAGTGTAATATTAAATTTAAACAACTTGCCGTTTAAAGGAATTTTATAGTGAAAACTCTGGTAAAGGAAATTTTTTTTAGCATATCGATTTTTTCATACAAAGGGCTGCTTTAAGGCCAGTACTATACTGAAATTATGCTCTTAAAATCCATGGAGACCAAGTTTCCCTGTGAATGTCCTCCTGGGGAATTAAGTCTCTATTGCTGACATAATGGAGACACATGTCAGTAAGTCAGGATCCTGAACGATTCAAGTCATTTTTCCTCACAACAACTGGAGACTCAATTTGGAGTTTTAAAAATAACAGGTTACCATTCATGTATTTTTCTTTATTTCTAATAAAAGCACTGGCTCTGAGAAGAATATTTGGTAAGTTTTTACATTTCAATGTTTAGGTCATATCATAACATATAACTGACCATAAAAGTCACATGCAATTATTTTTATAAATCTGTTTTCTAGTTACCAAGTAATTTCTTCAAAAGCTTCAACTGTTTGACAGAAACAAGTGTCTTAACACCGACTCTTGTGTGGGTCACGGAATTGCTTAGTTTCTAGTAAGGTAGTCTTCTTACTGACTCAAGGGAATATAATCTCTGGTTTCCTGACTTAATATTATGAAAACGTCCTAACAGAGCATTAACCACTGTAACACACTGGATATATAATGTCAATTTACAATAATATGCTGTGAGAAGGTACATGCAAATTACTGGGGTTTATTATGTACACTGATCATTTATCATTGAATATTTATATATCTTAACATGTTTTAACGTTCATTTTTATAAAGCACCAGTGTTTCTAAACTTTATTTAGCTGCTTTTAAGAAATGTGAACCATCTGATTGCCCTAATATATTGTGATTTTTCTATGGTCTTTAAGAACTTAGCTATGTAGACATGTACTATGGATTTTAATACAATAGAATTCAGAGCTCCAGGTTCAGCTTTATTATTTAATAGAAGTTCAATCTCTGGAACATTAGAATTGCTCCAAAGTTTAATCAAAAACACAATTTACAAATATTAAAAAAGTTTAAAAATCAATTATTGCCAAGAATTATATTTTTGAGATTAAAATTAGACTCTAAATGATAAAATATTATTTTAACTGATATTTGAAAATTCTTTTGGTATAGGTTTTAAAAAAGATTACTAAGTCATCTTTAACTATGGATAGAATCAATGTCCCTTCACTCTATTTGTTCTTACTAAATGTCCATTTTCAAATTCAAAACACTCACATTAAGAGACTTACAATAAAAAAGGTTCCTGGCTTTGGTGTTTTATAGGTGGGCTCTGCACAAGCCTAGCAGGGTCTGTTATTTAATTTGCTTATATATCTGGACAACAGAAACCCTAAATTTTTATCCTTATTTTTCATTTTATACTAAACAGGTTATATATATACTAAGCCAGACTGAAAAACAACCAGCAATCATCTCACAGTCTAGTTACTGGTTACAGAAAGGGGGGAAGGGGATATATAGTCTCATAAAGCAGTAAAATAATTGTTTTGACACTTGACCTTTGTATTTCAGATAAAAGTGAATCAGGATTGCTTCAGTGGGTATAACAGAGACACATATAACCTTTGAGAAATAGCGTATTGAAAAGTGTTCCTTTAAACTGTCCTGGTAATAGATGTTTCAGTTTATTTCATTTGGCTTCTCCCTTAACCTTATTTCCAAATAACTCTCTCAAGAAAAAAAAAAAAAAAAATTCCAGTAAAGTAATGCTATGAAACTTGGTTGGGGGTTGGGGGTGGGAGGAGCAACTAATCCTTCCACAGAAGGATATCATTCCCATCAGGTACTTATGTGACTAAATAGTAAAATCTAAACTTATGTTACTTTGTGCTTCAAGGAATACCAGAAAAATCTCACTAATAGAAGAAAAATTCACAATAAAAACTTAAAAAAGAAAAATTCTTAGTTACAGTCCAATGAAACCTAAAAAACATGGCCCAGGCCAAGTCTGCTCCCACTTCCTACTTGGTATATATAGCAAAGCCCAAAGGCACATTTCTTCCTCAAAAGGGCATTTACAAGAATGACTCATCAAGATGAGGTCTAATAAGTTAGGTTATAATTCTTTGAATATAGAAAGTGTGAGACTGCAATAATTTCGTCTTGTAAGTGACAGTTACAAAAAAAGTGATTTCATTTTCTGGCACTTCTCTCACTTTATCGCTATAGTCTCGGATTCAACCCCATGAAAGGTCACAGAGGCTAACATAGCTCATATGCACTAATGCAGCTGATATGCACTATAATTCAGAGTCCCAAGTTCAGCTTTATTGCTTAATAGAAGTCCAATCTCTGGAACATTAAAATTGTTCCAAAGTTTAATTAAAAACACAATTTACAAATATTTAATATTCTCTGAAAAACATTCCCAAGTTAAGAATGGGAAAAAAATATATATATACATCATATATCATCAAATACTAAGTTAGCTTCAAATAATATTCGGCAACATCCGTCTTGTTAGGTCCTTCAAAATCTGAAAGAAAACGACATACTGGCTTCTGCTTTCTTCAACTATTTTTTTCTTTTAAATGAAAAAGGGAACTGAAGGTAAAGGTAAAGTGTTTAACCAAACCCTTCACAATGAATGTGACAATCATTATAGCTATTACTACAAATGTAGTAAACTTATAGACAAAACCTTCCCGCTATTATCTGGGGAGAAATTATTATCTCTTCTACTAACAACAGTGTTCTACTCCCAGAGAAACAGGGCACATACCTTCTGTTAAATCTACCAAGTTGTTTTCTATGATGGGTGAAGGAATGGAAATCCCCATTGCTTTTCGAATTCCATACATGCTGACAATATCACCGGGGGTAACTTGCTGGGCAAGTTCTTTAAGATTATTGGTCACTTGTTCAGCTAAAAAGAAAAAAAAAAACCACACAAAATAGAATTGATCTAAGTACTGAAATGATTTTTACACACACACACATACACACACACACACACACACACACACACACACATATATATATATAACTTTTTTTTTTAATCCTAAGAATGGTTAATATATACATGCAAAAACCCCATTTTCCGTTGTACTTAATTCATTGTCATTTTTATAAATCACCATCCAAAAAGAGTTTTCCTTAAAGCATACTGACTCTTGTTATACATTACATACCGAGATGCATTTCTCTGTAGGAGGGACCCAAGAGACAGATCATGTTGGTAGGGGGTCTAGTGCTCAGACGTTCGTTCTGGGCTTCTTGGAGCTCCCTAAGCAATTTGGTGGTCTCATCAAGTTTCCTCTGGAACACTTCAGCTTCTGTGGGGTAAGAAAAAGAACACACTAAAGAACATGGCTTACTTGTAGTTGAGCCTGTGCAATATACTGAGTCTTACTAAGAGTCATAATGATGCTATGTGACAGAGCAGAGCTGCCCACTTAAGCCTTGTAGGCAGTAATCTTAAAAGGAGCAGATCATTAGTTCTTTTTTCCAAGAAGGAGCCAGGTAGTTCAAACTTCCAACTTCTCAGTTAGTAGCACAGCACTTAACCATTGTGCCACAAAGACTGCTTCTCAAAGGAGTGTTGTTAACCGCCATAGAGTAGGTTCTGAGTCATAGTAACCACACATAGGATTTCCAAGGAGCATCTGATGAACCACCAACCTTGCAGTTAGCAATCTAGTACTCATTCTATAATGCCACAGCAGGAGTGATCCTTCACATATGACATAATCACCAGGTTATTGTTAAGTGCCATCAAGTTAATTCCAACTCAAGCTACCCTGTATAGGGTTTCCAAGAAGCAGTTGGTGGGTTTGAATCACCGACTTTGCAGTTAGCAGACCAGTGCATATCCTATAGCACCATACCAGTACTCCAGTCACCATAGGCATGCTATACTATTCTTTTAAACATTAACCAAGATTTTGCAAAAGTAAATGGCTATGATGATCTGTAATAATGTGACATTAAGGTTTTTTTTTCCTTTTATTGTGTGACAGTTTACATGGGGGAACATTAGCTTTACACTCATTCTATCATACATAGTCTCATTGCCATAGTTACCATCCCGTCCATGCATCATCACCCAACCAAAGGTTATACCCCGCAGGCTCCCCCTTTCCCCACCACAGTCCTCAGCACACAGCTCCCTTCCCTCCCTGGATCTCATGTCCTTAGCCACTCCATCTCTTTATGTCATCCTCTCTGTCTCCATCTCAGGCCTCGCTGCTTCTCTGGGTGGGGTCCCGATCTCTGTTCTTCTCCAGTGATGGTCTCAGGGGCCTTCGCTCCTAGACTGAAAGGTTAATTACATCCCTCCTTGCTATAAAATATCCACCTTTACCTTTCCAGTCCTCACAATCCATCCTGATAACAATTATTCACCCCTGTATCACAAGAGACCAATCCACATTTCCTTTCATCAGCCCTTCCTAGACAGGTTGGATATTACTCACTTGAGACTCCACCCTCCTCCCCGCCCTGTCGATACAGGTTCCCTCTTAAAAGCTTGTAAGCCAGTCACTTCTTACCTTTGTATCCCTCCCCCCATTTAGGGTATCCAATGTTCAAGTTGCCCATCCCTATACTGGACATATTGTAACCCCTTTTTAGGTATTCCAGTCAGTTCCAGGCAGAAGATGGACTTACAAGCTTTCTATGGTAGTATTTCTGGTTATTCCTCCCTCTACTCTCCCATGACTGTTTTATAATATAATGCATGGAAAACCAAGGTTCAAGAGTCAGCCAAGCATCTCAACATTATTCTCCCCCTTTCCCCATTCCAACCATGTCCGTGTCTCTGTATCCAAGAGCCCTGTTGTTCCAAGGCTGTGCCTACATCATTTATTACCTCTGTCCCGTTTAGCTAATTCCTACTTGTCTGTTCTCCCATCTGCTTTGTTCCTCCATTCCCCTCTCCCTATTTGTATATTGCCTCCCTCCCCAAATCCCAAGCTATCCCGTGTCTATTCCCTGCCCTGAGCTCCACCTTCCCCTCCCGTCCTTAACCCCACCCCTACGCCCTAGCACCCAGTTAATCATCCACTTTAGTAGAATAGTATGGGTTCTTTTTCTTAGTCTTTTACAGTAGTGGTCCTATGCAGTATTTTTCCTTTTACGATTGACTAATTTCACTCAACATAATG